TAAAAAAAACGGGTAAAAATATTACCGGATATCTGTGTGCGTGTGCGCGTGTGCGTGTTATTATAGCGCTATATAACCGCCTAATAATTTATAGTAAGAAAAAATGGCCGCCGCCACTGCTGCCAAAATCGGAAAGAATTTAAAATGGCGGATTAAATTTTAAATTTATACATTTATTATTATTATTATTATTAATTTTTATCCATTTATATTATTTTCTTAACGACCTTATTTATTTATTTATTTAAAATTTGTTTTTTTTTTTTTTTGATGACGTAATAAAAATAAAAAAAATTGTAAACGACTTAATCCGCGATCGGATATAATTTATCTGGGGTCTCGATAATAAAAACTCGTTTTAATTAATTATTTTAATAATGAATTTAATTGTTTCCTATTAATAACAATATTATTATTATTATTATCATCATCATTATTTATTTAGAGTGATTAATAATATAGAAATTTCTAGAAAAAAATTTCCCGCAAAAATTTTGAGTTTTAAAAAAAAAAAAAAATCTTGAAAATACCAAATCAGAATGAAACGAACGTGAAATTGAATGAATTTTTTTTTTTGGGGGGAGGGACGAGTGGAGGGCGGGTAGTTTAAAGGGTTGTAGGGGAGGGTGTAGGGAGGGGGGCAAACACAATCTTCACGTAAATTTTATTGTAATTTATCGCGAAAATAATTAATAATTACGATGAGTGAGGGGAAATTAATATTTAGTTTATGTAATTTCGGAACAACCAGGAAAAAAATGATGATGATAATGATAATTGATAATCGCAGAAAGGATTTTTTTTTTTAATTATTTAAATCTCTCATTAAATCGTAAATTAATCCGATGATTTAAAATCAGGATGAGAGAGAGAGAGAGGGGGAGAGATTTAACGGATGTTTAAACATATGAAACCGGTCCTGATTTTACGAAACGTTGGAGAAAAACAAAAAAAAAACGTTTTCGTTTTTGTTTTTGTTTTTTTTATTTTCAAAATGGAAAATTTTTGAAAATGTTATTGTTTTTATAAGAGGAAGGAAAATTTCCTCGAGGGACGACGAAAAGGTAACGGCGGTCGGTTGTTCGGTTGTATTTTAATTGGTTTAGAAAATTCTAGAAAATTTTATGTATATACGATTCGTTTTCATTTGATTCTCGTTTACCCGTACGATTTTCTCATCGTTTTTTTTTTTTTTTTTTTTTTTTTTTTTTTTAATTTTCATTGCCAACTTAATTTCATATCGGCGTAGCCAACTTAAATTTTTTTTAAAATTTTTTTCTTACAGGATAGATGGAGAAAATTTACGTGTCGGAGAATTCACGGATTAAAATGCAACAACGCTTCGGGGTCTCAAAATAAATGTCCAGAAAGTGGAAATTCAAAATCGTCACTGGATTCTCCTTCCCCGTCGTCAAATTGTTGCCCAATTTTTTCTGCAATAGATCCAACGTTGCCTTTTCATTATCGGGTAAGTTTAAATTATTACTATTAATATTATTATCATTATTAATATTTTTTTTTATTCGAAACCTCTTCGCTTTCATTCCATTTCATTTCATTTCATTTTTGAATGAGTAATTTTTTTAAAAATGGCAAAATTATCCGCCGAGCTCTTCTTTAATAACTTATTATTTTTAATAAAAAAAAAAAAAAAATGTAAATTTGACAACGCCGCATTTTTATTTTTTTCCCCCCCTCCCCGAAAAGAGTCATTACGATGACATTCATTCCCGTTAATTGGCATTTTACTTAATTGCACGATTGTATATTTTTTCCGTTTTTTTTTTTTTCCATACTCATACTCATACTTGTGTGGATTTCTTCTGCCACGTCATAAAAAAAAATACGTTATTTAGTAATGGTAAAATAAACAAAATACGCGCGCACCCACACACACACGCGGATATAAAAATGATAAGCCGATTGCTTTCTCATAAACTGAAATCATTAAAAAAAAAAAAAAAAAAAAATTTCAATTAAGTTTGTCTTGTTTGTTGGTTGGTTTGTTTGTTTGTCAAAGCTTCTAAATCTTTGTCTTCCTCCCTCTCTCTCTCTCCCTCTCTCTCTCTCTCATTCTTTTTCTCATTCACTTTCATTTTCTTTTTTTTTTTTTATTTTTCTCTTCGTTCATTTATTTATTTATTTTTTTTGTTGTTTTACAAAAGAACTACGACCGGAAATGTTGAAAGCAGACGACAAATTTTTTATTCTTAATATATATATATATATATATATATATATATGACGACGAGTGATTTTGAAATAATATTAATAATAATTTATTAGAACGGGAGAGGGAGGGGGTGGTGGGAGGAGAAGGGAAAATATTTTTTTTTTTTTTTATTCTTTTCTTATTCGCCTTACGAACGAATTCATCTCCGTAATGAATTACATACAATAACGATAATAATAATAAGTAATGAATATTGTATGTAAATGTTGGGGGAGGAGAAGGGGGGAAGGCGATGATAACCAATCAATTATTTTATGCAAATGTGTTAATAATAAATTGAATTTGGAATCGTCTAAACGATTTCCGTTTTTTTTTCTTTTTCTTTTTTACCTGAAAACGTTCGTTCGATATAAATCGTCTCTTATCATCCTTAAGGATATAATCAAATTTTCAAGAGAGTGAGAGAGTGAGAGAGTGAGAGAGAAAAAGATTATTTAAATATATTCTGGAGAATTTGTCGTTTTAGAAAAAAAAAAAAAGGCGGCAATAACGTTTTCCTATCCATTTATTATTATTATTATTATTATTATTATTATTATTATTCTCATTTATTTAACCCGTTTGAGACTCTTGAAAACTTTGAACGTTTTTTTTTTTTTTTTTTTTTTTTTATCGTTTCTATCGTTTGTCGTCTTGGCGCGTTCATTTTTATACCGAACGTTCGTCGCGTTTGAATAAATTTTTAAACGACGTTCACAAAAGTGAAATTATCATTTTTTTTCCCCCCCTTTCCCCTTCCCCTCTCCCGGTTTTAAAAGAAATCACTTATTCTCCAGTCAGTATTTCTCCAGCGACGAATAAAAAAAAATGTCGACTCGTCACGTTGGGTTGTAATAAAACGATAAGAAAAAAATTTTTTTTTTTTTTTTTTTTAACTTAAGATTTAAATGTGTTATGTTGGCAGCCTTGTTTTTTTTAATATAAATTTCTTATGTGAACATTCTTGAATGAAAATAAAGATGTCGAAATATATTTTTCATTTTATTCGGAAAAAAGGGAATTTGGCTTTGGGGTTAAAAAAAAAAAAAAAAAAATTCGAAAAAAAGATTTTTTTTCCCTTTTGGCCTCCGGATGACGAGGGGAGGTGGGAGTGGGGGGTTGGGGGAGGGGGAATAAGGGATGATGAAAAGGGTTAAAATATGAAAAATATATTTCGATGTTTTTTTCTTCTCCTTTTTGTTTTTTTTTTTTTTTTGGAAAAAGCAAGTGGGTGAGATTACTTGAAGAATTTTTTTTTTTTTTTTTTAAAAAATATGTTGGAAAACTTTTTCCTTCTCTACGAAACGGAAAATTTTACTATTATTATTATTATTATTATTATTACTATTATTACTACGACATTTTAAATAATAAATAAAATGATGGAAAAATTTTTTTTTAGAAAAGAAAAGTCTTATTAGAAGAGTTTTGAAAATTTTCATTTTGATTTTCAACTTTGATATCCAAGGAAATAAGAAAGAAAAAAGAAAACAAAAATTTTTTTTTTTTCGCGGATAAATTTCGATACCCCCCCCTCCCTTCATGCTTCTTCCCACCCACCTCTTTTTTAATTTTCACGGTCTATTAATTTTATTCGTAGGAAAATTTTGTGAATGAAAATATATATATATATAAATAAAATCGATCCTAACTTTTACTTTCTTTTTGTTTTCATCCGTGACGTCACGAATTTAAAACCGTTAGAAATATTATTCTCTATTATTATTATTATTATTATTATTGTCATGTTTTTAAAATCTGGTTGTCGTTTGTTTGTTTTTTTGTTTGTTTAAATTTACAAATGTATGAAACATGCGATGGTTACGAAACACCAAAAGACGTTTTTTTTTTTTTTTTTGAAAGAAAAATAAAAATTCCAGTTATGAGAATGTTTTGGAAAAAGGAAGAGAGAGAGAGATAGAAAGAGAGAAAAAGAGAAAAGAGGAAAATTTTTTTAAAAAAAAAAAAAAACGTCCATTTATTTGGGGAAAAAAAAAAAATTTTTTTTCCTCCCGATAGATTTGTCATTTTTGACCCTATCATATAAAAATTTCAAGTTTAAATTAGAAATGGATTTTCTTTGGCAAGGATTTAATGGGATTTCCTCTCTCTTTCTTTTTCCTTTTTTCTCTTTTCATTATCATTTTCACATGTGTTGGTCAAGGACGAAACAGAAAGAGAGAAACAGAGAAAGAGAGAGAGAGAAAGTCGAATTTTATCTCGTGAGACAAGGATGAATGCAATGCATGTTGTACGGTGTTTTTAAAAAAAAAAAAAAAATATCCTTTGATTTTTTCTTCTTCTCGTTTTCATTCACCTCCCCGCCCCTCCTCCACGCCCTTTCCCCTCCATCTATCCCAGAGATGAAAGTGATCATTGAAAAAAAATAAATTAATGACGTCAATTATGACGTCACTTGACATTTAGTTTTTTCAATTCAAGCGTAAAATAAGTGAAAAAAAAAAAAAATTTTTTTTTGTTTTGTTTTGTTTTTCAATTCATTCTTTTTCCATTTATTATTATTATTATTATTATTATTATTATTATCATTTAATTGAAAAATAATTTCCTTATTTCTCTCCATTATATTTTATCGATTTATTATTTGAAATCGTTCGTTCGACCGGAAATAAATACTAATACTAATAATAATAATAATAATAATAATAATAAAAGTTAATTTAATTTATCAGTTAATGAATTTATCGTTATTATTATTATTATTATCATTATTATTATTATTTTATGAGGTGTTATCATTGTTTTGTTTGTTCTGTTCCAGTGGATAATGGTCGTTTCCATGGCCGTTCTCTACAATCTTATATTCGTTTTGGGTAGAGCAGTTTTTTGGGAATTAAACAACGCCGTGCCTCATTTATGGTGGTTCTTAGATTATACAAGTGACGCCATTTATTTAATAGATACAATAATACACGCTCACGAAGGTAAGTTCCGACGCCATTTTGTTTTTTTTTCATTTACCGCGCACGCGCGATGACGACAACAACAACGCGTTTCCGTCACGTATTTAAATAAAAAACAACAAACTCTGGTATAATATTGAAAATTATATCACGATAAAGTATACTTTAAAATCTAAAAATTTACATAGAAAAGGTTTTCTTCAAACAAAAAAAAAAAAAAAAGAAAAAATCCTTTTTACGAATTCCGTTTGGATAAATTATCATTTCGTGAAAATTTCACGTAAGTAAACGCATTCCCATTAAAACAAAACCTTTATTTTTTTTAGAATTTTAAAATACGGCTTCATATGAAATTCTCGTTAAAAAAAAAAATTCTGATTCCACGATTTTTAAATGGAGTTAAATTAATGATTTATATTTGAAAAACTCGTTAATGAAAATTCTCGGAACCGGTTTGTGAAAAAAAAATTTTATTAGTGAAATGTGAAACTGGAATCGAGAGAGAGAGAGAAAAGGGAGAGAATGGAGACGTAAGAGAAAGAGGAGAGAAGGGAGAAACGGGAAGAGAGAGGGAAAAAGAAATTAATAGAGCTAGAGACAAGAAAGAGACAAAGAATAAGTGAGAGAGAACGACAGAGAAAAAGAGAAACAAACAGACAAAAAGAGAAACAAAGAGAAAAAGAGAGAAAAACAGAAAGACAATGAGTAAAAGTCGGAAATAAGTTAGAGAAAGAGAGAAACAGAAAGAGAGAGAGAGAGAAAGTTAAAAAGAATAAAAGAAAATGAAAGAAAAAGAGAAAGAAAGAAACAAAGACAAAAAAAGAGAGAAAAACAGAAAGACAAAGAGTAAAAAAGAGTAAAAGTCGGAAATAAGTTAGAGAGAGAGAGAAAGGTAAGAGAAAAAGAAAGAAAGACAGAAAAAAAGAGAAATAGAGAAAGAGAAAAAGGTAAAGAAAGAGAAAAAAAAGAGAAAGTGATAGAGAAAAGAGAAAAAAAGAAAAAAGTAAAAAAGTAATAGAGAAATAAAGAGAGAGAAAGAGAAAAATAGAGAAAAAGAAATAAAGAGAGAGAGAATAAAATTCGGTGGACAAATATTTTCGTTTCTTTTTTCCAGTAAATTATTCAAAAGGTTTGATTACGTTCAGAAAAACAAAAAAAAAAAAATTTTTTTTCTTTCCATTTAAAATACAAGATGGCGTAAATTTAAACATCCGATTAACTCAAATCGAATTAAATTTAAATTAAAAAAAATTGTTGCCAGAATTTTATTTTATTTTATTGGCACGCGCGTCGTCGACGAACAATTTAAAACAAATTATTATTATTATTATTTTATTATTATTTATGAAGCGTCGTCTGGAATATTCATTAATTTTTTTATTGACTGGAAAAAAAATTTTTTTTTTTTTACTGCAATTTTTTACTCCTCGATTAATTTTTTGTTATTATTATTATTATTTTCGATACGTGACGAAAAGAGGTGGGGGGCGGAGGGGAAGGGTAAAGCGGAAACGAACGAAACTTTCCATATCCGGTTATCGCGATATTTTTTTTTTTTCCAATAACTCCGAATCGTTTTTTTACGTATTCGTACGCATCCCACGGGACGAAAACGTGAAAGAAAAAAAATCGTAATTAAATTATTCCCACGGGATTTTCTTTTTTCTGTAACCCCCCCTTTAATTACGTAATAATAATAATAATTACATACGGAAAAATAAATGAAGTTAAAACTGAACAAATAAAATAAATAAAAAAAAAAAAACGTGAAAAAAAACGACAAAAATAAAAACGGAAATGCGTTTTTTTTAATAAAAAAAAAATTAAAAAGGATTTTAAGAGGGCGGTGAAAGGAAGGGGGACCTCATACTAGGAAAGAGGAAGGGATAAAGAAGGGGTTAAAGGAAATGGAAAAAAAAAAACTTTTTACACTTAATTAAATAAAAGCGATGAAAGTTTTAATTAGCATGAGAAAAAAAAAAGAAAATCTTTCGTGTGTGAATTTTTGCAAACGGTGTAAAAAAAAAAAGAAAAAAAATGGCGCGCAACCGACATTTTCAAATTTTTTTTAAAAATTATGATAAGTGAGAAGGATAGAAAAGGTATTTAAAAAAAAAAAACGTGAATAAAATGAATCCTTCGGGATGATTGATTCAAAATGATGAAAAAAGAAAATTAACGAAATAATTACTGTGGTGATAAAAGTCAAAAGAAGTGGGGGTGGAAGGGGCGAAAAGGGCGGAAGGGAAAGTGGGGGGAAATGATAAAAAGTAATAATTAAGGTTAACGTGGTGTCGTTATCGTTATCGTCGTCGTTTAATTTTTTGTTTTTTGAAGTTTTATTAGTGGGGGGGGTAATAATAATATTATTTAAATAATTTATTACGGTAATAAATAAAATTAATTGTTTTTTCCCACCGTAAATATTAAAAAAAAAAAAAAAATATTTATTTGCTATCGGCGGCGGCGTCGGCGTCGGCGGGTAAGTTAAGCACAAACAAGACAAAAAATTACGGTTTTTAAATTTTTTCCTTTTTTCCTTTTTTTTTTTTTTCTTTTAATACATTTTTATTATTTCTTTTCCTTTTTTTTCCTTTTTTTAAATGGTCAAAGGTTTTTTTTTTTTTTTTTTATTTTTTATTTTTTAATTATTTTCCTTTGATGTCATTACGTAATTTTATTTTTGTTTACTATTTTCTTTAAAATTTTTTTTTCCTTTTTTCCTTTTTCCTTTTTTCCTTTTTCCTTTTTCCTTTTTTCCTTTTTCCTTTTTTCCTTTTCGGTTTCTTTTACTTACTCTCTTTTTTTTTTTTTTTTTTTTTTTTACAACACATTTCGGTCTCGTTTAATTTAATTTCTTATTCCCTCTCCCTTTCCTTCCTTTTCCCCTTCTCTCTCTCTCTCTTTTCTCTCCCCTTTTTAATTTTGACTCCGTGAAAATTTTTAAAGTCACGTATGGAAGTTTAAAAAAAAAAAAAAAAATGAAAAAACATGCCTGGAATTTTTTGTTGTTTCCAAAACATTTCACGATGAAAATTTTTTTAATGGGAATAATAAAAGAAAAAAAAAAAAAGAAATTTTGTTTTTAATTAGAACAGAGACATTTATCGGAAATGATTTTAATTAAAATTTTATTTCAACCAATCAGAGTTTACTGTTGGCGTTATCTCATTGGTCGATCGTTGAGTCCTTACGATTTTTTTTCTTTAATGAATTAATTCGTGAATTAAACGGATTTTCGAATTGTAAAAAATTATTATTATTATTATTATTATTATTATTATTATTATTATTATTATTAATGTTGCAGATGCAATCTTTCTGCTAAAAATAGTAGACAAAGTTTAAAATTAGTAGTAGTGGTAGTAGTGCAAGACGAAGTTGAAAAGTTTTTTTTTTTAAAAAAAGTTTTCCGAAACTTGAAAGATTCGAATCGAATACTCTTGGGAAAAAAAAAAGAAAAATGAAAATTTAACTTAAGGGAAAACTAAGAAACCGCATTTACTACGCTTTCCCTTCCCCTTCTTCCCACTCCCCCTCAAAAAAAAAAATCAGGAGTAAGTAGTAATAAATATAAAATAAAAAAGTTTCTTTCTTGTCTGGCACGAGTTTTTTTTTAAAACACAGGTTTGCCAAATTATTTAAAAAAAAAAAAAAAAAATTAAATATTTTTTTTTTATGGAAAAGTTTGCCAAAAAAAAAATCGTTAATTGATAATTAATAATAATAAAAATTCATTATTATTATTATTATTATTATGCAACCGATTTTTTTTCGTTCGAACGTGATAAAATTTTTTACAATATTGTTTGTTAATGACAACAACCAAAAGAGAAAACAAACGATTCGAATAAGATTAAATAAAAAAAAAAAAAAATCCTTGACCGAAATTTTAATTTTTTTTTTTTTTTTAAGGTTTGTAATCGTGATTCGATTAAATTCGATTAAATTCGAATTTTTTTAATTTAATGTTTTTTAAATGCTAATTTATTATTTTGACCTAAAATTTAATTAAGCCAAAAATCGTTTTTTTATTTATATAAAATTTATTCAAATTTTTTTTTTTTTTTTATTTCGTCTGCTTTATTTTAATTTATAAAACGAGAAAAAAACGCGGGAAAATTTCGGAAAGAAATTTTCAACGTAAAAAATACACGCAAATATGTTAGAAATAATTATTTTTATTGAATTTTTATATTTAGCTTACGACCGAGAAAAAGAAAATTTTTTAAATTGAATTTTAATGTTTAACTTACGGTCAAATTTTTTTTTATTTTCTCTGTCGTCTTAATTTTTTTTCGTCTTTTTTTTCTTTTATTAACAATTTTACGCTTTTACAAAAGTCTAAAAAAAAAAATTTTCTCATTCGTTTATCTGCAAAGCCGTAAAAAAAAAAAAAAAAAAAATTTTCTTTTTATTTTTCCAGATGATAATAAAAAAACGACAAGAAAAATTTTTTTTTTTTTTTCTCAAAAGGCAATAAATATTTTCCGACATTAAAATTATTAAAGATTTATTGATTGGATAGTTTTTTTTTTTATTCGTAAGAAAGAGACAGAGAGAGAAAGAAAGAAAGAAAATTTTTTTTTTTTAAAAGAAAATAATCGTAAATCAATTTTTAAACCGTTTAAAGTTTCCCCCTCCCCCCATTTCGTCATTTGAAAAATAATCGTAATGACAGAACAAAATAAAAACGTTTCCGATATTTACTAATTTTAAGTTGGTAATACTGTTTTTGTTCATTATGAAAAAATTGGCGCGTAAATTCGAAATCGTTTTTAAATTTTAACCGAATCTCCGTCGTACGTTAAATTATCGATCGATTTAATCGGTTTGACCGATTTAACCTTGAAAATTGATAAGAGAAAAAAAAAATGGCCGAATTGATAGGAAAAATAATTTTTTTTTTTTACTACCGAGAAAATTTTGCAAACAAACAAACAAAAAAAAAAAGGAAAAATTCGTGTTTGTTTAAGTAAGTAATAAAACATAAAAGGAAAAAAAAAAATATGGCGGTCAATAAATGACACACCCGGTTAAATCAACATTAAAAAAAATTTATATAAGCGAAACACCTTTCTTTCTTGGAATCGAGTCTGTCTCGTTTTTTTGTCGGGGGGGTCGGGGGGTTGGGGGTCGTTTCCGCCCGTTTTCGTATTAATCCGAAGAATCAATTTTTTTTTTTTTTTTTTTTTTTTTTTTCAGGCTATTTGGAACAAGGTTTGTTGGTCAACGATTCGAGAAAACTTCGTAAACATTACGTATCGACCGGAAGATGGAAAACGGATATGTTGAGTTTGTTACCGACGGATATAGCTTATTATTGGTGGTCGCCGCAGAATTGTATGGGAAAAGTACCGTGTCCGGTCATCGTGAGAGTTAATCGTTTGTTTAGAGTTCCACGTTTGGGTGAGTTTTTCGATCGTACGGAAACCGGAACCGGATATCCAAACGCTTTTCGAATATGTAAGGTACGATAAAAATTTCCTTTCGTAGGCAATAAATTTTCCGTTTCTTAACTTCACCAATAAAAATCAATTTTTTTTTTTTTATTTTAATAAACAGGTCGTGCTCGCCATATTGGTGCTCATACATTGGAACGCGTGTTTTTATTTTGCTATCAGTTACGTCATAGGTTTCGGTACCGATAATTGGGTTTACAATACTAAAGGACCGAAAAACAGCACATTGACGAGGCAGTACATTTATAGTTTTTATTGGTCGACGTTGACTCTAACGACCATAGGTAATTTTTCGTTTCCGGAAAGAAGAAGGAAGGAAATTCGACGTTATTACGATTTTAAAAAGGAAATTTTTTTTTTTTGTTGTTGCAGGTGAAACTCCGCAACCGGAAAACGATGCCGAATATCTTTTCGTCGTGGCAGATTTTCTAGCTGGAGTTTTGATATTTGCAACAATTGTCGGTAACATCGGAAGCATGATAAGCAACATGAATTTGGCGAGAGTCGATTTTCAAAATCGTATGGACGGGGTCAAACAGTACATGACCTTTCGTAAAGTATCCAAAGATTTAGAAGCGAGAGTTATTCGATGGTTTGCTTACACGTGGGCGAACAAACAGGTATTTAAACGTGATTTATTATTATTCTAGTGACACGTTCGTTTTTTTTTTTTTTTTTTTTTTTTTTTTTTGGAATAATGAAGTAAATTAAAAGTGTGAGGGAGAGAGGAAAGAGAGAGAGAGAGATGACGTAAAATGATACCGATTTTTTTTTGACTTTTCAAATAGGCATTAGACGAAGATAGAGTACTTGCCGCACTTCCGGATAAATTAAAAGCGGAAATAGCAATTCACGTTCATTTGGACACACTTAAACAAGTTCAAATATTTCAAGATTGCGAACCTGGTTTACTGGAAGAATTAGTTTTAAAACTTCGACTCCAGGTATTTTATTAAATTTTTTTTTTTCGTTAATTTTTGATTTTTTTTTTTTTTTGGGGGGGGGGGGGAAAATTAATTTTTCTTTTTTTCTTTTTTTTTTTTTGTTTCGTTCGCCATTTTTTTTTTTTATATTCCCTCATAATTTTTTTTTTTTTCTTTTTCCACATCATTAAATTTATCCCGGATAAATTTTTGAGATTATTTTTTGTTATTAACGGTTTTTTTTTTTTTTTTTGATTTGAACCGGTTTACGATTCATTAGATTTTTTTTTTTTCTTCTTCCTTTTTTTACCGTATTTCCGTTTCCCTTTCTTTTATCTCTCTCTTTCTCTCTTTCGTTTTTTCATTTCGTTTTGATTGGTTCGTTTGGTTCGGATTTGTGATTCATGGAAACTCATTAAAACGTTTTTCTTTTTACTTTACGTTTTTTTTTTTTTAATGTTTATTTACTTTCTCAAATTATTATTATTATCATTATTATTATTATTATTATTATTATTATTATTATTATTATTATTATTATTATTATTATTATTACTGTACGCAGTATTGGATAAATTCATGTAAGAATCGAACGGGAATGCATCGAACGGTTTATCCGACGTGTATTCATACATGTAAAAGTTAAAAAATCATCGAAGCGTCGTACGATTGACGTAAACGAACGTTTATAATAATAATGATGATGATGATGATGATAAATCGAACGTTTTGTTTTGACATAAGCCAACTATGATGAATGAATGAATTTTCTCTCTCTCTCTCTCTCTCTCTCTCTCTCTCTTTTCTACATGAATAAAATTGTTATGAAATTGAAAAAAAAAAAAAAAAAAAAAAAAAAACAGAAAAAACCGGATGAAGGTCAAAATTAATTAAATTGCAATTTTTTTCGTGGAAATAGAAAAAACAAAAAAAAAAAAAACGTTTTTTTTTTTATATTCGTTAATAATTTAATTTCGAATAATAAAAAAAATTATTCAAATAATAATAATTATTATTATGATTTTTTTTTTAAAAAGAAAAGGATTCATTAAAAATATTAATTAAATTATTTAGTTTCTATTACCACGACGCACTCGACAACAACAACAACAAAAAAAAAATATTAATGAGAATTTTTTTATTATTCATTAATTAAAATAAATAAATGGCATAAATTATTATTTATTAACTAAATAAAAATAATAATTAAAAATATATATAAATGAAGTGTTTTTTTTTTGTTTTTTTTTTTATTATTTTTTTTTTTTTTGTTTCCAATGAGTCATCACAATCAATATGGCGAGTTATTAATTATTTATTTATTATTTTAATGAATTCAATGTCTTGACTTTGATTTACCCTTTATCAAAAAAAAAAAATAAAATAAAATAAATAAATAAATTCTCGAATGAATGATCCAGGAAACGGAAACTAGGTGGAAGGAGGGAAAGAGAAAGAGAGAGAGAGAGAGAGAGAAAAGGGGAAAGAGAGAGATAAAATTGGGAATAACGTCGGTCAGCCTTTTTACATAAAAAAAAAAAAAAAATAAGAACCGACGATAAGACCCGCGAAACCCCCCCCCCCCAAAAAAAAAAAAAACAATTGCGGTGATGATAATAATAATAATGATAATGATGACAATAATAATAATTAAAGTGGAAAAGACGAAAACAAACAAAAACAAAATGGCGGTTAAGTTTGATTTTGTCGTATGAAAATAAAGAAGCAAAAGACATTTTAAAAACAATAATAATAATAATAATGATGATGGTGACGATGACGACGATGATGATGATGATGATGATGATGATGATGATGATGATGATGATGATGATGATGATGATGATAATAATTAAAAATATTCCCGGTAAAAAAAAAATTAAATGGAATATAAAGTTAATTTAAAAAGTTTTTTCTTTGATAAATTACGATGGATTTCAGGTTTTTTACCTTTTTTTTTTCTTTTGATAATGTCACTTATCATAAACGTTGTTTGTTGTTATCAGTTATCAATGAAAATTGTTTTCGGAAATGTTTTTTTTTTTTTTTTTTTACTACGTCATCACCGATGCGTGTGCGGGTTGGTGGTGGAAAAAGGGAATGTTTAACACGACCTATTTTACAATAATTAATTTATTAAATTTTGCTGACACGATATTAATACTAATAATAATTTCATTTAAGAAACGTGTCAAAAGAAAGTGAAAGAGAGAGAGTGGGAGGTGTGGGGGGGGAAGGAAAAAGAATTGGGTTTCGGTTGTTAAAATCATTTATCATTTGTCTAAAGGAAATGTTTTCCCAAGAAGAAGAAGAAGAAAACGAAAAAAAAACTTTTTTTTTTTTTTTTTTTAATTAAATGAATTGAAAATTTTAAAAGTTAGCAGACAAAAAGTTTTTTTGTTTTTTTTTGGTAATTTTATCTAAATCCACGATAAAATTTAATTTTTTTTCGTAACGGTACACACGATACGATCGTTTCTTTATATATATTCGAATCGCGATTCGGATTTGATATACGAATTTTTTTTTTTTTCCCAAGGTTTTCAGCCCTGGTGATTACATTTGTAGAAAAGGAGACGTGGGAAAAGAAATGTACATAGTTAAAAGAGGTCGTTTAAGCGTCGTCGCAGACGACGGGGACACGGTGTTGGCAACTTTAGGAGCCGGAAGCGTTTTCGGCGAAGTCAGCGTTTTAGAAATAGCCGGAAATCGTACCGGAAATAGAAGGACGGCAAACGTTAGGAGTTTAGGGTATTCGGATTTGTTTTGTCTTGCGAAAAGAGATTTGTGGGAAGCGTTGGTCGATTATCCGGATGCGAGACACAGTCTCATGGAAAGAGGTTGTCAATTGTTGAGAAAAGATGGACTTTTGGATGAGAACGCTTTTAAAAAATCACAAGTCGAACATGAAACGCTCAAAGACAAAGTCGACAGATTAGGTAACATAAAAAAAAAGGGAATTTATCGTCGTCAAAGACGAAAATATTAATAATATTAATAATAATAATAATAATAAATCCGTTTATTTTAATAATTTTTCCCTTTTTTTTTCTCTTTTATTTCTCGAACGAAAAAAAAAAAAAAAATTTTATTAATTTCCTTTTTCTATCGGACAAGAAACAAACAAACAAACAAAATTTGCTTAAAGGTTTTAGAAACAAGTAATAAATTTATTATTATTATTATTATTATTACAATCATTATTATTTTTTAATATTTCGTCGACGACGACATAATTCTTTTTTTATTACCCTTTTTTTTTGTTTTTTTTTTTTCTAGAAAGTTCTATAGAAAATTTGGAAGATAAATTAACTCAATTAATCGGTGACGTCACAGTTTTTCATAACAGAATGAAAAGGAGAGCATCGAAAATAGAACAGAAAACAAAACATTCGTCGTCACCCTCGAAGTGAGTTTGTCTCGTTTAAATAAAAACCGGAAATGCCAAGACTCTTAACGTTTAAAAAAAAAAATTTTTTTTATAGAAAACAATTTTTATTACCTAACGCGACGGAAACCGTCGAAGAAGAAGATAATAGTAATAATATTAATAATAATAATAATAATAATAACGATGGTTCTACTACTAGAAGATCTTTTCAAGGGAATTCAAATAATCCGCCGTATACAATTTTACAAAGGCACAAACAACGTTCGGTTTGATGACGACACGTGTCCAACCGTGAGTTTTTAACACGTGTATCTAAAATTTTCCTTATTAATAATAATAATTATTTTTAAATAAAAACGATTGCAATAAAACCAAAAAAAAAAAAAAAATTTAATAAAAAAGAATTTTTAATAGAACGGAGGAGAAACAAAAAAAAATTTATTTTTTGTACGATTGAAAAAAAAAAAAACAAAAAAAAATGTCGTTGAATAATTATTATTATTATTATTATTTTTTAAATTATCGAAATTATATTATAAATATTTATTTATTTAGGGAGAGAGAGAGAGAGTGCGTGTGTGCGTGAGTGGGTGCGTGTTTATGTAATTAAGGTACGTAACGATCATCATCAATAATTAAAAAAAAAAAATTTTTTTTATTTATTTTTTTGGGTATGGAATTTTTTGTACAAATGCAACGAAAAGATTTTTTTTTTATTTTCATTTTCTTTATTACGGTCCTGAAAGTTTAATTTTTTTTTTTTTTTTTTTGAATCGATTGCCAAACAAACGAAAAAAAAAAAAAAATTTAATAATGGCGTAAAAATTATTAATCGAACGATAGAAAATAATGTATTTAATTATATTTAATCATCAAGGGTTATTGTTTTAAAAAATTGTTAAAAATATTTTCGGAAAAAAAAAAAGAAATAAATATTTTATTGAATTTTTATAATATTTAAATTATATTTGTTCGGTTTCCCCCCCCCGCTCCGCCCCGCTCCGCTCCCCTCCCCTCTTCCCACAGGTAATTTTATTTGACAATACAAATCAGGTTCTAACATGTTCAGTTTGTTGTTGTTGTTGCGGTAAATTCAAACTCTATTGATTTATACACAAATTATTTGTTATTGTGTGGTTTATGAATTGGTTAAAGAAGAATTTTACAGCAGAAGAAACATTCGTTTAACTGATTTACTTAAATTGTTTTTTACATTCAACATGTCTGCCTTCTAAATTTGGTTTTTGGTTACACTACCTGTCTCTCTTTTTTAATTTTACTGTAGAAAGGTAAGTAATATCTTAACAATTCTTTGTTTTCAATAAGGTGCTGGCTGCATACCTTTTTGCTGTTGTTGATAAAATTGATTAAAAAGGGTTTGTTTCATTTTGTAAAGAAATTTGTCACTTGTTAATTTTCCCCATATATATATATATATATATTTAAGTATACTAATAATGTATTTAAGGTAAGTGGTAGATTAATTAATTTCATTACTTTTTCCTCGTATAAAGTTTCTTTTTTATAAAGTTTATTCATTAAATATTTTTTATAATATCAAATGAAGTGATTATTATTATGTGGTAGATAATTAAAATGTTATAAAAAAAAAAAAAAGATTGAAAGTTTGATGGTGGCATGTTTTGTATAAATTTATTTTTTAATTGTTTTTGTTTGGAAAAGTAAAACTAACTTTTAAATTTTTTATAAATATGGCTTAATGAAACGGGCAGGTTTTAATTTTAGTTTCGTTTTTTTAAAATTAACTCATCAAAGGAATTGTAATTAATTGTAATTTGATAAGTGAAATGAAAATTTCAAAAGAGGAGCATAGAGTAAAATAAAAATTTTTATGTTGTTTATTACGTTCCCCCCCCCCTGGTGTAAAAAAGTTGAATTTTTTATTAACGTCTATGGTTTGAGTTGGCTGCACTTTTACTCATGAGTAAATTTCCAACGGTTTAGAATAACAGCAAAATGAAATAATAAAAATTATTTTGAAATTGATTTATTTTGTAAAAATGTCCGACATTGATAAATATGAAAATGAATTATTTTTTAAATTAAAATTTGATTATGAAAAATTAAATGGTGGTGGTGGTGGTGGGAATGAAAAGTATACGCCGAAATCAAATTCATTGAGAAAAGTTTGTGAAAAAAATTTAAATTTTTTAAAAGTTTTAAAAAAATACGATTCGAGTGTAACTCTTAAAGAATTCATATTGAAAAAAATTGATAATAATAATAATTATAAGTGTAAAATCAAATCGAAATCATTGATCGATGAAACAAAAGACATTAAAAATTTTTTATTAAAAGAAAATTTAATTAAAGAAGAATTAAATTTACTTAAAATTAATTTACAACGTGACGAATCTCGGATTTCTCTCCAAAAAACTCAAATCCTTATGGATAATAATAATAAAAATAGGATTTTTTATAAAAAGAAACTTTTAAAATATTATTATTTAAATTCGTGTTTGGGTATTGGAAAAAATTTAGATTTAAATACCGAAATCGAAGGTAGTTTCTGCATAACGCTTACAACAAATTATTTTTTCACTTTTTTCTTTTTTTTTGCCATTACTTTAAATTTTTTAGGTTCGGAACATGCGAAAAGAGATAAAATCGTTTGGAAATTTCTTAAAAGGAGATCATTTGGTAAAAATGAATTTTCAAATGGTAAAAAATGTTTTTTAATGTTGCACGGTTTGGGTTTTCACGTATTAAGAAGTGACGAGTATAATATTAAATTAAATAAGTACGCTTTTGTCGTTATTTTTTATATTAAAAAAAAATTTATTTTTATATATTTAAAACAACTGTGTTTTTTTTTTTCGATGAAATTATTGGCGGGAAAAACAAGTTTAGAAGTAAACAAGTAGTTTTAAAAATTGACCGGCAGGTGTCGCATAGTTTCTATAACCACGTTTGTTTGAGTACATTTTTTTTTTTTTTTTGTGAGTGACTAATAGGAAAACTTTACTCACTGGAAAATTTATTTTTATTATTGATTTACAACAAACGGTTATTATTTTAATTTATTCTTACATTCAATTTACGATTGAATAAATATTGTTTTTTTTTTTTTTTGACGTTGTAATTATTATTTTTTGTATCGTGTAGTAAAATGGTATCGGCGTCTAGCACGAGTGCAAAAAATTTATTCGTTGAATCTAAACATCGATTATGCGATAGAGTTCAAGTTAATGTAAATAATATAGCTGCCATTGCTAGACAAATTCAAAGAGGTTCAAAATCTAATGAGGTACGACGACACAAATTTATTTTCCACCGTTTTTGTTTTGTGTGCCATCATATGATTTCACACAAGTTTCATCACAATGATATTATGTCTGGTTGTAATTTAATTTTTAAATATAACTATAATATTTTGTTGTAGAATTTGATGGCAACAGCGAAAAATTTTGCTCTACAAGAAGCTGCGATTGAGAATTCGGAAAGTGTAAGTAGTCTTTATGATATCATGGATATTATTTTTTAATTCATTATGTATATTTTAAATAATTAATTTGTAATATTGTTGTTATTAGAATGTTAACAAGCTATTGGTTTTGTCAACACAACTTAATAGTCAATTAGAAGCGATTGAAAATAATGCATCAAAAATCGAAGAAGCATTGGAACAGGTTCATGCAATGCAACGTTAAATTTTCTATTCGATATACCTTTCTACCTGGGTATTTTTTAAGTAAGTCATAAAATGTCTTTCATTAAAAATTTATTTTATAAAAAAGATAATTTTTTATTTTTACTAAATTCAACTACATTCATTATAGAATTTAAAAAAAAAAAAAGTAGCAATATGTTTATATATTGTATGAAAAGCTCAAATTTTCTTTCTTTTTTTTTTTTTTTCAAAATATTTTACATTTTGCAAAATAAAAATTACAAATATAAAATGATATGACGTAATTAGACAAATAATACTCAAAATGAACGTTTTTTACTTTGACGTTTTGTTGCCATTACTTGTTAGTTATTTAAAACGTCGTGGTTTTAGATAAACAAGTTGTCACTCTATGCATGAAATTTGATAGGATATTTCACCATGAGGATAATTAAAAAAAAAAAATCTACTTTATAGGTATAATTTTAAAAGTAATTTAAAAAAAATTTTTAATTTAAATAAATAATTATATCGCATTAATAAAAGTGAATCGATCATCTTTATTTATTATTATTATTATTTTAAATGTATAAATATAAAGTTTTTAATTTTTAAAAGTCGGCATTTGCATTTAAAGGTGACTTTAAAAAAAAAAAAATTTTGTCACGTAATTAATTTTTTGATTCGAAGATTTTATTGAAGTTATGTATATTTTTTTAGGTTTAAATAAATAATAGAAATATATATACGTAAATTAAAATCAATGGGTAGAAAAAATAACAAGAAATCAAAAAATAATATTAGCAATGCCAACGAAAAGAATTCATTCAAAAAATTGTCCCCGTTAAAAAGAAATGAAGTCAACGATGTTGTAAAAAAGATATTAAAAATCACTAGTCAAGTGCCTTCTGATGGAAAATATAAATGGGAAGACCATGTGGAAGTAACCAAACTTCTTAATAAAGTTCAAGAAATTGAGCCAGGTGACAAAAAACTTTAACTAATACTTTGTGTTATGTACAATTAATGTTTTAACATTTTTAAATGACTAACATAATTTTTAACATTTAAGATTTCATTGCGAAGAAAAATAGAGAAGATCACTTTTCCAATTTGATATCGTGGATTAAAGAAAATGGTGGTGTTGCCGATAATGTAACTATAAAACATTTCAATGAAATGGGGTACGGGTTGGAAGCGGCAAAAGATCTCGAAGAAAGCGAATTGATATGCGCAATACCTAAAAATGTCATGATGACTCTGGACAACGTCAAAGTTTCTCCATTGAAGTATTTATACGAGAACAATCCCATTTTGAAAAATATGGGAAATGTTGCTCTGGCATTATTTCTCATTTTGGAACATGTGAAAAATGAAAATAGTTTTTGGCATCACTACATTTCATCTTTACCTTCGGATTATAACACTGTTTTATACTTCGATTTGAATGATTTTTTAGAAATGAAAAACTCTCCGACATTTGGTAAGCGAGTTCAAACTATGAATCGATTAAAGTTTTTCATTACGTCATTCTTTTATATTGATTGATTGGTGATTTTGCTTTTTTTTTTTTTTTTTTTATTTGATTTTAGAAATGGCTACAAAACATTGCAAAAACATTGCTCGTCAATATGCTTATTTTAATAATTTATTTCAAAATTCGAACGATGAAGCTAGTCTTATACTAAGAAACGTATTCACTTATCAATTGTACAGGTGAGTTGTCGACTTTTACACTAAAACTTATCGATAAATTTATCCTTTGATCCCCAAGCCATTTACCACATGTTAATTTTTTAAAAAAAAAAAAGGGGGGAGGGGGAGGGGAAAGTAAAAAAAAAAGAAACATTTGAATACTCGTGCTCCGGAAATATTTTTATTTATATTTATTACTCTCGTTTTATTACGTAATAATAATAATAATAATATCGTCGTTGCCGTCGTCGTCACGATCATATGATAAAATTTGAACGCGTCGTTTTTTTTTTTTTTTTTATTTATTTTTCAAACGTGATTAATTCGCAGGGGAGGGGAGGGGAGGGGGCGAGGAGGGGAAAAAGTTACAAAATCAACATTATTAATAATGATAGTAATAATACATATATTTTATTACTTTCTCAAAATGAAAATATGACAAGTGTTTACTACATTAACAGTAAGTAACGTTTTATCATCATCATCATCATTATTATTTTATTTATTATTTTATTTATTATTATTATTATTATTAACACTATCACTATCACTATCACTATTTCCTTATTTTTTTTTTTGGTAATACTGACAGGTTTGTTTATTTTTTATTATTCATTTAAATAAATAAGATAAATACACATATGCACATTTGATCGGTTAGTGGGGGGGAGGAGGAGGAATAAAAAGGGGGGGGGGAAATTTTCGACTTAGAAATAATCGATATCGTCTTTGTTTCTCGTTCTGTTAAATCTCAAACTCGTGTTTATCACGTTTCTCCCTTTGTCGATTTTTTGTCGAAGTATGTCGTCGTTGTCGTCGTTGTTTTTAACGTAAAAACCTTTCGAATACCTGTTACCCAAATTATTTTTTGATTTTTTCCCGAGCGTTTCCTTTTCATCTTTTGCCAGTCTCGTTTTCAACGTGCTCGCTCGACTCGTGAACGTGTTTTTAAACGTGCTCCATAGGTAACTTCCGGCGAAACTCGTACCCGATTCGCTTCCGCCATCATCATCACAATCATCATTATCGAAATCCGACGTTTTTTTAAAATTGACCGAACTCGGAATTTCCCCGCTTTTCGTCCTTTTGTTTTTATTTCTACTCAATGAGTCCGAGAGTATGGAGGGAGAGGATTTCAAATGAATTTTTCTCTGTCTCCAACCGCACGCGGCAAAAATGGCGACGAATACGAATAATGCGATGCCCATGACGACGCCGCTTGCAATTATCGCGGATTTGACAGCCGGAGGAATTTTGTTGGATTTTTCAACATCTTCGTCGTCTTTTCCTTCTTCTTTTATTTTCGGTTCTCGTTCTTTATTTAGGTCACCCGAATCGAAATCGAAATGTCTGTTGATGTTTTTCTTGTTTTTGTGAAGCGTTTCTAGTAGGATGATGTCATCATCATCATCATCATCTTCCGCCGGGGTCGTGATTTTATAATTTTTATCTTTTTTCGTTTCGTTTTTATTATTATTATTATTATTATTATTAACGTTTACCGTCGGCGGATTTTCGGGGGCTAAGGGATTTCCGTAAACGAAGGATTTTTCGGATAGTTTCCACAGAGCAAGATTTTCCGTGTTTGACGTGTCCGCAGTGAGATCGTCGGGTTTGAAATTGAGTATTGATTTTTCGTTGGAAGATGAAACTGAAGAGGGCGAATTATAAAACCTGGGTTCTCTTCCTGCCACGTCTATTTTGCCGACGTTCGGAGCGCTTTCGTCCGCGTACAACTCTTCGTATTCCGCGCCTTTCAATGACTTAAACCGATTCGGATGCGGAGCGTAGAAATGTGGGAGGCTACCGAAAATGATGGTCGTTTGAGTGCTGAAAACTCTTTTCTTTTCCCGGTTGGAAAAAAGTTCTTCAATGTTGCTCTGAACGGTTGATTTTTCACGATTGTCCAAGATCTCTCGGAGCGTCATGTTTCTCGAATCCAAGATTTTTTGCAAAGCTTTGGCGTTTTGTTCCGACCTTATGAGTTCGATGAGTTCGTCAACGGGTTCGTTTTCCCGGAAAATGATTTCCGTTGACGAATCGACGTAATCGTATCGTTGCGTCGTCGATGTTCCGAAAGTCATTTCGTATGATTTTTCGCGGGTGTTTTCGAACGGATGTTCGTCACGTCCGGTCGTTATTTTCAGAGTGTCGATTTTCGAATTTTCCGTCGTCCAAACGTCATTCGGTTGATAGTAATTGATTTTCGCGGCGAATTTTTCCAACGCGACTTCCGGTTTTCTTTCCGGTATGATGAGAGGCAAAGCGGGATTGTTGGAACTTTTAAAGGGTATGATTCTTTTCTTTTGAATCGGAATCTGTGGATTGTTATAAATTGCCACGGGGGGCATCGTCGACGTCGACGTCGTCGTCGTCGCCGCCGACGCCGAAGAAGAAATATCAAAATTTTCTTTAAAAATCGTATTGCTAGAAACTTCCGGTTCACCTGTCGTCGTCGTCGTCGTCGTCACCTGATTTCTCCTCTGGTAATTTTTTAATTTAGCTTGGAGTTCGTTTTTCCTTTCTTGAGGAGTTAATCCGGCCGGTCTAAAGGGTTGCCAATTTCGAACGGTTGTCGTTTTCCCTTCCGTAGAATCCGCGGGAGCCTTAGGCTGAAGTGTTTGTATTTTGTTTTTGAATTGTTTCCTTTGAAAGATTCCTTTACCAAAAGGTTGCATCCTTTTCTCGTTCGTTTTCGATACGGACGATGCCGTCGTTTTAAGGATTTCCCGATCTTGTTCGAAAGGCTCGTAAGTTTCTTTTACGTTACTCGGAAGGTAATAATTGGGGCTCGATACGGATTGCGTTACGGGTGCAGTTTGCCTTCCGTTGAATATGACCGATGCATCCGTGTTGCCTCTTAGTAAATCTGCCAGGGAAAGGTTTTGAGTTTGCAGTAGTTCGCTCAGGCTCAAAGTTTCCGTTTGTTGTTTTAAAAAGGTTTTAAGATTTAAAGTCGAAAGTTTTTCCGTCGTTATCGTCATCGGATTTCCATCCGATTGACGTTGCATTGAATTTCCTTCTTGGATTCTTTTATGAATCGCGGGTACTGCTTCGGCGGGTATCACGGCTCCTCCGTGTAGCAAATTCGTTGACCCCGTCGGTACGGTATGATATGCCGACGCCGCTCTCGTATTTTTTAAATTTTGTTCGTCCGACGGTGATTTCGTTCGTTCGGGTCTCCTCCTCTTCATGACAACTCGCGTCCTGATTTTTTTCCCACCATTTTGAAATGGTGGAAATTTTTGAATTTTATCAATCGCTTGCGGCATTATCAGAGTTTCTCGCGTTGCCGTTTCGTAATCGGCATAAGTTTGACTGTGGTATTGTATTGCCGTCCTCGGTACCGACCGATTAATCACGTGTTGTCCACCCGTAACGCTCGGATTTATCACAGGCTTGAAACTCTGTTGCTCGTACCCGTTCGGGTATCTTTGATACGGATTTCCCTGCGTTATTTTACGCACGTTGTACGTAACCCCGTACGCGTTTCCATTTTCTCTTGCATCGTCGGATGAAGAAGAGGAGGAGGAGGAGGAGGGGGACGGTATCAAAACGTTTTTCACACCGAACGATGTCACGCGAACGTTATTGTCGTGTTCACGATGCAAACTTTGAGATTTTCCCGTGAAAGGAAAAGCCACAATGATGAGAAAATAAATTTTCATAATATTTCCAAACATCTGAAAAGAAAAAAACGATCATTTCATTTCAAGTTCAAAGATTTATCATCATCATTATTATTATTATTATTATTATTGTAATTAGGTAATTAACGATTTGTCGAGTCCAATAATGATGATCGTTAAAGAGAAAAAAAAAAGAAAGTTTTTTTTTTTTTCATCGTTGAGATTTTATTAATTATCATTTTTTTTTTTTTCCCCTCCGATCACTACGAGGTACGCCTCTTTGGTTTTTCGCCATTTTTGTTATTTTTACCATTCTCGGTGTAAAAAAAGATTTAGGTTCGGTGTTACAACATGAGAAAAAAAAATTTTTTTTATGGATTTCGCATTAGAAATGTGAATGTTGGAGTAAAAAAAAAGTTAATGTTGGCAATAAATCTATTCCTCATTTAGTAGGTCATTTTCTAGGGCTAACCAAATGTCTGCTCACTCTCACTATTTTTTTTACTTTTTTACTTTTTTTTTTACTTGTTTGTTGTTGTCGTCGTCACGCATCGTAATCAGGAGTGACAGGTGTTGTTGTTGTTGTTGTTGTTGTTGCCCATCGTCGTTTCGTCCGATTTCGATTTCGCGTGCCTGCCAGGTATATACGTAAGAAAAAATAAACTTTGATGACAGAGGTGTGTAATGCCTGCGGTATTTAAATTGTCTTCTTTCTCTCTCTCTCTCTTCCTCCCATTCTCTCTCTCTCTCTTTTCCTCCCATTCTCTCTCTCTCTTTCTCTCTCTTTGGAAATTAATTTTCAGGTTTTACGGAAAAAAAAAATTTGTCGTTACGTTTATTACGAGTACGTTTCGAACGGAGATTGTATCTGTTGTGGTTGTTTTTTTTTTTTTTTTGCCTTTTATGACATTAATCGATTTTTTATTACGTCATCAAATACGATGCTCCCCCCTTTCCCCCCCCCCCTTTATATCGATTTTTTTTTTTTTTTTGGTAGGAATTGCGTAATTTAATAAAACTCGTCTCTCTCTTCTCTCTCTCTCTCTCTCTCTCTCTCTATCTCTCTATCTCTCTCTCTCTCTCTCTCTCTCTCTCTCTCTCTCTCTGTCTCTCTCTCTCTCGTTTTGTAAAAAAAAAAAATTATCGATATTATTTATTGTTCGAGAAATTTTTTTTTTTTTTTTTTTTTTTTTTTTTTATTAAAGATCGGAATTCGAAGTTGTTGTTGTTGTTGTTGTTGTTGTTTGTTGGGGGAGGAGGAGGGAAGGAAGAGGGGGTGGGGAAATTACAATCATTACGTTTATTTATTTATTTGTTTATTTTTCGGTTAATTCCACGTCGCGAAATCTACAATTGAACTTTTTTTTTCTTTTTTTCTTTCTTTCTTTCTTTCTTTTGGTTCTCAGGATTTTACTTTTGATCCGTTCATTGTTCGCATGATTCGGAATTTTTTTCGCCTTGATTCGCGTTTCTCGAATGATTCGAAAATTTAAAAAAAAAATTTTTTTTTTCGTTTGGATTTTTACCCCCCCCCCCGCGCGCGCGCGATCATTTATTGAAAGATATGAAGGGGGGTTGAAGGGGGTAGAATAGTGATAAGAAGGCGAAAAAAAAAAAGATGGGAGATGACGTTTTTTATCAAACGGGTCGACGAACTTTACATGTTTTAAGATTATTTCGAATAGGCGTGGCTGGGTGGGGGCGGAAAATGATGACGGTGGTGGGGGGATGATAACAGGTTTTCACGTCGAAGGAGTGGAAAAGGGGGAAGGGGAGAAGGAACAATTCCGAAAATTACCATTTGTTTTCTTCCTGATCATTGTTTTTTTTTTTTTGTAATTTCTCGAGGCTTACTTTCATCAAATCGACAAAAAACTTTGACCGAATGCTAGAAAACCCGTCATTTTCAAGTTTTTTTTTAATTTTTCTGGGTGTGCGCGTGCGCGTGCGAAATTTACTTTTTTGTTCGTTTGCTTCGTTTCCCGCGTTTTTTTTTTTTTTTTAATTTATTGCATTTTCTCATGCAAAAAAGCAGTTTAAAATGAAATGAAAAGAAAAAATTATTAATCATATGTTTTGTCTCTCTCTCTCTCTCTCTCTCTCTCTCTTTCCCCCCCCCGCGTAGCGGATTCTTTACTCTCTGAAATTTCTTTCTCTTGCATCCTTTTCTCTAATTCTCAATTCCCTCGGGAACACACACGCGACGGGAAAATGTCGACACACGCGAAGTTTAAAATCGATCGAAAGTAATTTACGAGATGATTCGCGTTTTTACCAATAATTTGTTTATTGCGGTAAGGAATGATTGATTGATTGATTGAATGAATGAATGAATGAATGAAGGAGCTAACTCGGTAGCATCGCACGCTAAAAATTTTCATCTTAATAACGAGAATGAAATTAACTTTCGAAAAAAAAAAAAAAAAACGGATTGATTCGATTGCAACTAGGATAATATAATATAAAAAGATTCAACACTCGATGGAATCGATTATTCACGTTCGACTTTCGAAAATCTACGATTGGTATCGTCTCATTATTATTTTTTTATATATAAAATCGAAAAGAAAATACTAAAAATGTATATCTCGATCTCGAACGATTCGATACGATTCGTGAAAGTTTTTTTTTTTTTTTTTTGATTTGTTTTCGTTTTTTTTTTTTTATTTTTTCAATATAGCGTCAAAGGTGACGATTATACGAATCGATTAATACTTGATGACGGGTATGCGTTAAAGTCGAGAGTTGATCGATTGATCGATCAATCGATCGATCTATCGTTTCCGTCGTTTTGCCAAAAAAAGAAAAAGTTTTCGGAATTTTCGTTTTTGTTTTTCGTTACTTCGTATCTATTTCTTATTCTTCTCTTGATTTTCTTTCGCCTTCTCTAAACAATCAGACGCGCTATAAATTTCTAGTCGTTCAACGCTATAAACGGGGGGAGGGGGACGGGGGAGGAGGAAATTGACGAAACGATCACAAAATTATTATTCTTACTATTATTATTATTATTATTATTATTATTATTATTTTCTTTTTGTTTTTTTTTTCCCAATCAGGTCGCGGTTCGCGCGGCACTTTAAAAAAAAAAATAAAATATAGCGCTATAAATAAATTAAAGAAAGAAATGATTTCGCGGATTGATTTTTATTAATGGATTTTAAATTAAGTCGAAAATTTCATTAGAGTATTGCTACTACTGCCACTACTACCACTACTACTACTACTACTACTACTGCCACGGCTATAATTCTAACGACACGCACTCACGCGCACTATAAATAAAAATTTTTCATTTTCTTTATTCATGACGACGTTATTAATTTAATGAATATACGAAATTAACATTTGCATAACGAGAGAAACGAACGCCGCTATAAATAATATTATAAATGCTTCTTTTTTTCTATATAGTCTATAAAGAGAGAGAGGGGGTGGGGAGGGGGAAGAAAAGGGAAGGGGAAACGGAAAAAAGGGGAAAAAAATTAATTTTTACTTTTCGTTAATTTAAAATCCTTTATAGCGAAAAATAAAAGAATAAAGATTTGAAAATATAGCGCTATAATTAAATAAAATCCGCGTTCGAATAAAAATCATTAACATCATCATCATCATCATAATCATCATCGATTCGTGAATTATTATTTGAGTTGTTTGTTGTTTGTTGTTGTTGTTGTTGTTGTTGTTGTAATTACAGTGAAAATTTTTTTTTTTTTTTTTAATAATTCCGGCAACAAAATTTATTATTATTATTATTATCATTATCATTATTATTATTCGCTATAAAATTTCTCGGTCGAAATGAAATATTTATAAATAAATTTTTAAATAAATTTAAAGTTTTTAATATTATTATTATTATTATATCTAAGTATGCTTCTTGCATAATAATTAACGATCTCGCTCACTTTCCAATTTTTATTATTATTATTATTATTATTATTTATAGCGCTATATATATAGTAATAGTAATTTTTTAAAAAATTTTTTCGCTATAAAAGTTGTAGGGAATAAATCGCGAACAAATTATTATTATTATTATTACGATTCGCGCGTCGCAACTTACTTTTTTTTTTTTTTTTAAATGTTGGGTTTCTTTCTTCTTCTTCTTTTCCCTCTTCTCTCTCTTCTCCCTCTTCTTTAAGGAATCCAAAAAAAAAAACCGGAACCGGAAAAAGGCCCGAAAGAAAGCAAAAAAAAAAAAAAAAAAGTCCGTAAAAATATTTTCGTAGTCGTGGATACACCACCACCATTCGCGCACCGCAAAAAAACTCTTTCGCACTCTATCGAATCCCTGACATTGACTGATCAACCTCCTCTAGGTTCGTACCTGCCGACCAACCGACCAACCAACCAACCTACCGACCACCGCCGCCGCCGCCGCCGCCACCTTCACCATCACGACCAACCGACCGACCGACTCGTAAAAGAAAGTTTGCAAACACACTCGCACGCACACACACACACCATCACGCACTACATTTAATTCAATAATAATAATAATAATAAATTAAACGTAAACGTTCACTTTTCTTTTTTTTTTACGACTAGTTACGCGCCTGATAATGTAGGACGAAATCAATTTTCGGTTTTTTAATTTTTTATTTTTGTCATTTAATGGTGGAAACGTTCGGCGAACGCTTTTTACGAAAAACGAAGCGTTCGGGGGATGATGGAAAACGCGTGACGTGTTTAGCTTATGCGAAAAATTGAAATGGTTTTATCCGTCGGGAGAGTTCATTTCCGGTTTTGAAAATTTGATTTTTTTCCGGCGAACTTGGGGAGAATTTTCTCGGGGGGAAAGGGGGGGGCTCGATGCGTTCGGATTTAATCGTTTGCAGGTCGGTGACTTTTCCTTTTGTTTTTTTTTTTTTTAATCCAAAAAAGGAAAATTTTTTTTACGCTACACTTTGTAGTCGGTTTGGGTATTATCGTATTACATTGCTGCTTACGTCATCATTTTACCTTTTCGGGACTAGGAGGAGGAGTAGGAAGAGGGGGGAGGGAGGGAGGGAGAAGGGTAATGATAAAAAATAACCGTTAATATCTTTATCAAATGTATTTAATATATATATTATCAAATCATTCGTATTTGATTATGGCGTTCGTCTTTGTACACTTCGCACTTTTTTTTTTTTTTTTTTTAATATAACACGTTCGGAAAACGTACGTCGGGTGTATTTTCTGATGCCACGTTAAAAACTCGGAGGAAAAAAACCTTTTGTCAAACGGTTTACTCTTCGCGATTTACCGACGGGTGCGTTACAATTACCGGAAGTGGTTTTTCCCTCCCTCCTGTACCCACGTCGATCGTCACCGGTCATCAGGACGACGGTTTTCTTGGGGGGAGGGGGGGGTAATGACAAAATGAGACGAGAAGATTTGTCGCAAAATGCGTCGTCTCAATTTTTCATATTAATTTAAATTTTATTTTCGCTCCGTCATCCATTTTTATTTACCTTTTCAAAAGGGAAATTTCACATTATTATTATTATTATTGTTTTTTTTGTTACCATTAAAAGCCACTTTCGGATCGAATAGAGGAGAGATAGGGGGGAGAGAGAGAAGGAAGGAAAAAGGAAAAGAAAAAAACTTTTTCTCTCTCTCTCTCTTTCTCTTTCCCTCTTTCATTTTTTGTTTGTTTATTTTTTTTGTATTTATTTATTTTATTTTATTTATTTTTTTCTTGCAGATGGGCTGTGTCGACCGTCATGACGAGGCAGAATTTCATACCATCATCATCAACGTCAAACGATGTCGAAAATGGCATAAACGGTCTCATACCACTTTGGGACATGTGCAATCACACGAACGGTTATCTTTCGACTCAGTATAAAGTTGATAGGAGCGAATGTTTGGCGTGCAAACCATTCAAAAAAGGCGAACAAGTAAGATAGAATATATATCTCTTTCTCTCTCTCTCTCTCTCCCCCGATCTCTCCATTCGGTTATGTCGAAGCGGTATAAAAAAAAAAAAAAAAAAAAAAAAAGGGGGGGGCACGACCGGTCGCGAACGTGCGAATCGTGTGAAACGGTTAAACGGCGGTTCTCTTCGGAAATCGGTTTTCTGGGGAGGGGGGAGGGGAGGGGAAAAGAAAAGAAAAGTCATTAGTAGCGTATTCGAAATGGGAAAGTCTTAATAATTTCATGCTCGATAAACGCGTGAGTGACACAAATGGGGGGGGGGGGGGGGCAAAAAAGAATTAAAAGGTTTTTTTTTTTTTTTTTTTTTTTTAATACTTAAAAATCGAAAACGCGTGAAATTTTTTTTAAATTAATTTATTTTTAATTGAAACATAAATTGAAATCGTTTTGCGTGAAAAAAATTCAAATTCGTTGTCGTCGTCGTCGTCGCTGCCGCCGCCGTGGTCGTCGTTGTATTCCTCGCTATCGCCGCCGCCGCTGCTACATTTGCTACGAACGTCGAAAGAAGGGAACGCTTTAAAAAATCAAATTAGACATTTTTCAATACGAAAGTATAATTAAAATAATAGTTCGAAAGAAAGGAAGGAGAGATAACGGTAATAATAACGGGGGAGAGAGATTTTACCGAGCCCCATTCAGAATAGAATTCGGAATGGGGCTCGGGGGGGGGGGGTCCTTGCCGGTTGCATTGCTCCTGAGACAAGGAGGAGAGCAATGCAATCGGCAACGCGTTATGAAGGAGGCCGGATCATTACGGTTGGGGAAATCGTACGCGTAAGCCCTAGTCGACGTGGGAAACCCAATTCTAGAACCGTCCCTGTCCTCCTACCCCTACATCCCTGGACTCCACCAGTACACCACCACCTCCACTCCCGCCTCCTCTTCCTCTTCTTCTCTTCTCCCTCCCCCTCCCTTTTTTCTTTTCTTCTCCCCCTCCCCCTCTTCTCTTCTCCCCCCTCCCCTCTCTTCTCTCTTCTCTTCTCCCCCCTCCCCTCTCTTCTCTCTTCTCTTCTCCCCCTCCCCCCTCTTCTCTCTTCTCTTCTCCCCCTCCCCCTCTTCTCTCTTCTTCTTCTTCTTTTACTTTTCTTCTTTCTTCTCTCTTCTTCTTCTTCTTTTACTTTTCTTCTTTCTTCTCTCTTCTTCTTCTTCTTTTACTTTTCTTCTTTCTTCTCTCTTCTTCTTCTTCTTTTACTTTTCTTCTTTCTTCTCTCTTCTTCTTCTTCTTTTACTTTTCTTCTTTCTTCTCTCTTCTTCTTCTTCTTCTTTTACTTTTCTTCTTTCTTCTCTCTTCTTCTTCTTCTTCTTTTACTTTTCTTCTTTCTTCTCTCTTCTTCTTCTTTTACTTTTCTTCTTTCTTCTCTCTTCTTCTTCTTCTTCTTTTACTTTTCTTCTTTCTTCTCTCTTCTTCTTCTTCTTTTACTTTTCTTCTTTCTTCTCTCTTCTTCTTCTTTTACTTTTCTTCTCTCTTCTTCTTTTCTTCTTTTCTTTTTCTTTTCTCTTCTTCATCTTGTATATTTTTCAGGTCTTCATATTTTACTCGTCTTATATACTCCTAGCCTCCAAGGAGTTGGATACGTCATCTTCTATCTTTCATCTTCTTCTTCTTCTTTTTCTTCTCTCTTCTCTCTTCTTCTTTTTACTTTTCTTCTCTCTTCTCTCTTCTTCTTTTTACTTTTCTTCTCTCTTCTCTCTTCTTCTTTTTACTTTTCTTCTCTCTTCTCTCTTCTTTTTCTTCTTTGACTTTTCTTCTCTCTTCTTTTTCTTCTTTGACTTTTCTTCTCTCTTCTTTTTTTTTTCTTCTTCTTGTATATTTTTCAGGTCTTCATATTTTACACGTCTTATATTTTCCTGGCCTCCAAGGAGTTGGATACGTCGTCTTCTATCTTCCATCTTCTTCTTCTTCTTCATCTTCATCTTGTTGTATATTTTTAGGTTCTCATATTTTACGGCGAAAGATCCAATTCTGATTTTTTAGTACACAACGGTTTCGTTTACGATGAAAATCCCCACGACAGTTTTCGGCTCCGTTTGGGCATATCCAAATCTGATAAATTACACGGATTGAGATGCGAGTTGTTGAAAGATCTCGGTATACCAGACTCTGGTGATTTTTATTTGTATTCAGGTTCCGAACCAGTGAGAGAAAATCTTTTGGCTTTTTTAAGAATCTTCAACATGGACGTCGGTGAGTTGATTGATTGATTGATGACGGACGACTTTGGAACTTTTCTTTTTTTTTTTTTTTTTTTTTGTTTCAAATCCTTGATGCATTTTTAAAATAAAAAGTTTTTGATAACGATTTTTGACGATGTTGTTTTCATCATTTTCTTCATTTTTCCTTTCCATTGCATCTCGAAGAACGTCCATAACGCGTCGTTGATTGCAATTAACTTTGATTTGTTGTTCTTTTTTAGAAAATTTAAATCATTGGAAGTCACATTCGAGTCGTTTATCCGATTTGATGTGGAAGGATTGCGCTTTAGATACTAAAATCGAATCAAAAGTTTGGAATTTCCTTTACGATCGGATTAATTTACTATTGAAAACGTATAAAGGCGACGAAGTCGAGGTAGTCCAAAAAGAAAATTGTGAATGATTGATTGATTGATTGACTGATTGATCGTTTTCCGAACGTGACAATATCCATCCATCTACCTCGAAAAAATTCCATTTCTTCTTTCCTTCCTTCCTTCCTTCCACATCAATCCTTCCATTTCTTCTTCTTCTTCTTCTTTCTTCTTTTTGATGTATTTCGTCCAAAAAAAAAAAAAATCCTAATGTGATCATCATCCATCGTACACGCGTAGTAGTAACGTTCCAAAAAATTTATCCTTTTTTTTTCTTCATTTCAGGTTCGGGTTGAAGATTCAAATTCAACGGAGTGTCGTCGTTTGGTACGAGCACAATTGAAATGTGAAAAAAAATTTCTTTCTTCTATCCTCTTCTACGTGCAACAAAGAATCAAATGCTGATGATATTTTTCACTTCACTTCACTTAACTTTTTTTGTTTTGTTTTGTTTTTGTTGTTTTTTGTTACTGTCTTTTTTCTCCTTTTACAAGAAAACTGTACTTGAATCAATGTTTTTGTAATAATAATAATCAATAATCAATAAATCAATCAATCAATTAATCGATGACACTTGAATCAATAAATTTTTTTCCGCCTTGATGATAATAATTTGCGATCCCAAACTTGATTAATCCGTTCGGATTAAGAGAGATTAATTTTAATCGAAAACGCTCCTTTTCCCTTTTTTCTTCTTCGTCGAATCCCTTTCATTTCTTTTATTCCCCCCTGAGGTTTTGAATCCTTTTTTGGGGGGTTTACGGGGCGGTAAAATTTTTTCCTTCTTTTTCCTTTTACCCTTTCCAATTTGTTTTTTAACTTTGTTGTTCTTTTCGACTTCCGTTTCACGTTTTTTTTTCAATTTTCCTAAAACAAATAAAAATAAAAATTAATAATTAGTATAAATTGAGCCCTGTGGTGGGGGGAAGTGGGGGGATTGAGTTTCATCATATAAATTATCACAATTACTTTTTTCATCGCTTCTTTGTTTCTTCGTTTGAAACCATTCTCTCGTCTTATCGTAGTCGTTGTTGTTATCATTCGATTTTAATTTTTTTTCCATCGCATTCATTTGCATTTCCGCTTTTTGCAACAATCTCTCTTCCAATTCTTCTTTCAAAACTTTATCCACGTCTTCTCCGAGTTCTTCGACTTTTTTCTTATATTTCAATAATATTTGCGGTGGTATTATTCTCGATTTGACGGGTCTTTCTGCTTTTTTAACAATTTCCTTGACTAATTTCCTCTCGGATTCGCAAGCAAGAGAAACGGATATTCCGCTACGTCCGGCTCTTGCAGTTCTACCAACTCTGAAAAAATAATAAAAAAAAAAATTAAAGTTTTTTTTAACCGTGCAAAAACGACGACGTTAACATTTCACGATTTTCATTTAACACAATCGTAAACCTCACCTGTGAATGTAATGTTCAAAAGTCATGGGCAAATCGTAATTGATGACGGTTTTAACACCGGATATGTCCAAACCTCTGGCTGCAACATCCGTCGCCACGAGTATATCTAATTCTCCATTTTTAAACCTTTTAAGCGTGTCAAGTCGTTCCGGTTGCCTTAAATTCCCGTGTAATTCTCCAGCCTGAATAACAAAATAATCATTTGTTATCATCATCGCACGTGGAAACGTAAACATAAAACTTTTCATGCGACATTTTAACCTTAAATCTAATAAAAACATTTACCTTCATGTTTAAAAATCCTAAAAGTATTCGAAGTTTATGCGCTTGACTTTTTGTTGCGACAAATATAATGCAATTTGCTCGAAATGTTCTACGAACCAAAGCAGCTAAAACTGCTTCTTTATCACCCTCTCGTCCTTTTCTTATCCTAAACAAAACAAAAACATAATTTTATTATTATTATCATTAATAATTTTAAACAAACAGTAATAATTTCGTTTGTAATTGTGTGTACTTACCTTATAAATTCCTGCCTCAAATTATTTGTAACGCTTTGATTACTGTCGACAAATATCTTAACCGGATTACTAAGGGAAACGCTTGCCAAATCTTCGACAGCTGTTGTCATAGTCGCAGAAAATAACATTGTTTGTCTTGTTCTCGAACATTGTCTAACAATTTCTTTCATTTGTTCGGCAAAATATTCATCCAACATTCTGTAATTTATCGATAAAATAATTAGTGTGGATTACGATTAATAAAAACGAATAATCTTTTCATTTTAATTTATCGAAAATCTGTTTTTTTTTTTTTTTTTACCCACCTGTCAGCTTCGTCCAAAACTAAAATTTCAATACTATCAAGACTAAAACCTAATGAATTTTTCAAATGATCTATTAATCTTCCAGGTGTTGCTATGACTATATCTGGTTGTTTTCTTAAAAATGCTTCTTGAACTTTAACATCGAGACCACCGACTGCCAAACCGATTTCAATGGTGGTAAATTTAGATAATTGTTTTGCTACTTGTATAACTTGTACTCCTAATTCTCTAGTCGGTACTAATACCAATACCCTCGTTATCGATAAACTTCCCTATTAAGTATAAGTAAAAAATTAATTTAAAAAAAAAAAGAAAAGAAAATTATCGAATACTGTTAATTAAGGAAATTAAAATTTACCTGCGGTTTGTATAACAATCTTTCCAAAATCGGAAGCATGTAAGCAGCTGTTTTTCCTGTACCTGTGGCAGCACATCCGCAAATATCTCTTCCTAACAATGCTACTGGTATAGCTGCACATTGTATGGGAGTCGGATGAGAAAAATTCATGGCAGCTATTGCTTTCATTAAAGGTCTTGATAAATTCATTTGATAAAATGATGTTATGTCATGATTTTCTGATATTTCTTCGGAAAACTCCAATTCAGTTTTTTTCTTCTTCGATTTTTTCAATTCTTTTATTTTTATGTTATCATGTTGTAAATCTGAATCAGATAAATAATCGTCACCTTCTTCATCTGTGCTATTCTCAACCTTGATACCATTTTCACCATTTTCTGCTGATAATTTTTTCTTATTTTTAATCAATTCGATTTTATCTTCGGTTTTTCTCTTCGGCGTTCTCTTGACAAATTTCGTTATGTAACTCCAAGAATCTTGATTGCAGTCTCCGGTTGAATCGAAATTAAAACCAGCGCTGAATTCTTTATTACCCGTTGATTTTTCTTTATTTGGCTGAAACTAACACATTTACATTTACATTAATATGGCACGCACGTGTTACAGTGAAACTCTAACCCTGTTAAATTCTATATTAAAAATTAAATTAATAATTAATTAATTAAAATAATTATAAATAAAAGCTAATTACTTCTTCTTCTTCGTTTGATTCCTCAGAAAAATTAGAAACTTCGTCTCCATCGTTAATTGTTTTAATTAAATCAAATTTAGGCGACGCCGATGCACGCTCGCACATTTTACTTGAGCAGAATATTTGTCGTGGTTATTTGTCGTGGATTTAGACAAATACTGACGACACTGCTTCGATGCCGCCATAATTTTTTTATTTTAATTTTAAATGCAATTGCTTTTTATTTTTAAATTTTCAAAAAAAAATATATACATAAAATAAATTATGTGGAATAAAGAAATAATAATAATAATAATAATAATAACTTACTTGTAAATCAATATTCTACCATGGAGTATAAGAACCAAGATAAAGTTGACAGACTGAACAATAATGATAAGTATTTTTACACACGTTCATGCAATAAGGAAGAATACAGCAAGGCCAACACCTGAGAAATTTTGTTTAATAATAAGTTTATTTGGTTTTTTTTTGTAGTAAATAAATTTCTTATAATACAAGTAGTAAATAATCACCCGAAAAGACAAAGTGCTAAAGCTGCCACATGAGTAGCAACAGATTCATGTGCATGGGTAGTTGTTAAAACTAATATACCACATCGTGGACAATAAGCCGGTTGAGAATGTGATCTCCAAATTGGTTCCGCAAAACTAGCTAAGCACAAAAAATTAACTTAAAAACAAATCATTATTATTATTGATTGTCAAAAAAAAAAAAAAAAACTCACGAAGTAAGCAAACTCTATTTAATTCTTCATTTTCTCTAGAAGCGTATAAATCTTGATCACCAGTATAAGCTGGAGGTAGAGGGGGTGGCCTTTCTGTCACAACTTCAGGCTTTTATAAATAAATATATTTATTTTAGTTATTGAAAATAAGTAGATTTGAATGATCTCTTTTTGCTTTACCTGCTTAGAAAATTTTTTTTTTTGTTTCATTACAAATGAATAAGATGGTGGTGGACCGATACTACATCTTCTAGATCCAGGTTGATCTACGTTAATAGTTGAAAGTATTCGAATTTGAGTACGAGGTATCGAACTACTACCCGTTGTAGTATCTTTTGTATTTGTTACTGTTGTGATTTGTTCATTATCAATATCTGTCGGATGATTTTCACTTGAAACTCTATCAGTTACTGTTGTTTCATTTTTATTACTAATAATATGAGAAGTTGATTGGCTGCTGCTGGATGGAAGATGAAATAAATCTTTTATATTCACAATAGGAGGATTATCATTAGTCTCCCTAATTAAAACGTCTTGAACACTTTTTGTACTTAAAACGGTATAAGAAACTGGAGTAGTTTTATTATTATTATTATTATTATTACGTAATTCTTTTAAACTTTCTGATTTTATAGACTGATTATTTTCACTCGTCAAAAATGAATTCGATTCGTGTAAGTCTCGTTCATCTTCCCTATTGATCTCATTTGATGTTTTATTATTTTTATTATTTATATCAACAAAACTTTCAAATGATAATTTTTCTTCGCTTTTTGTTATAACGGATTTTAATTGAATAGAAGAAGAAGATGGATAATTCATGGATGGTCCTTGAAATCAAAAAATATTCAAATTAATTAAAAAAAAAAAAAAAAGAAAATTTACCTAAACGAAACGTTCACTCATCAATTAAAATTATTTATATATAAAAAACAATATAAACATGCCTGAAATATTAAATGAAGATCCTCGTCCATCGGATTTATGTATTAAATTTGTTTTATGTATTTTATTAACGTTTAACGTTTCCAATGAATTTGTTTTACGCAAAATAAAATTCGATTTTTCCTCCGTTTTATTAGAATTTTCTTTGTTTACATATTTTTTTTTATTTTTATCCGTATTATTATCTCCTTCGCGAGATTTTTCATCATCCATTTCAATTTAATATTTAACAATTATTATTATTATATTATTATTATTTGTTATGAAATAAAATAATAAAAATAAAATGGTAAAATATAAATAAAATATAAAAAAAAAATAAAAATTATAAAAAGTAAATAGTTTTGTTATTATAAAATATATACATAAAATGGTTGACATTAGCAGACGATGATAATTAAAAAAAAAAAAAAAAAAAAAATTAATTAATTAGAATGGCATTTATTTAACGATGCGTGGCTCCCTGCGTTTCCAGTTTGGACCATGCAACTTTTTCTTTTATCATAAGTTCCAATTAATTGTTTGCAACAGGAACAATGAAGGTCTAAATATTGATCACGTCTAAATAAAAATGGAAGAAAACAAAACGGCCAGCACCTTAATAAAAAAAAAAAAAAGTAAAATTATGATTTTGATGATTTATTGATTTAAAAATAATTATGAAAGAAAAAAAAAGAAAAAAAAAATGACAACGAACCCCAACATACACAAGGCTCCTAATGGCGTTTTCGCCATTCTATTTCTTTGTTTTCTTATAACCGGTTGTCCTTCTTTTCCACATTTTGGACAAATAACACTTTGTGGACCTGGTGTCCATGTTTCCACTGTAACAATACAAATAATAATAATTAATTTTTTTTTTTTAAAAATAATAATGTTAAAACATATTTCATTAAATAAATATTAATTTTTTGTTGTTGTTGTTGCGAAAGACACCTGACGTTTTATATGTTTTTGGAGATACTTTAAATCCTTCTTCATTTAAATTATCACCTCCTTCGAGGGAATAATTACGTTCTTCGCTTGGTCTACGATTTAATTTAGAATTTGATACTTGACAATGTGCTAAAAATCTAAATACGTCTAAACCAGAATGTTCCAAATTTAAATGATCAACTAAAACGGATGTGTCATCATTCTCATATGTTAGAATTTCGTTGCAAACTAAACATCTGACTTTTTTACTTTTGTTTGTAGTCATCTGTCAGAATATTTCTGTAAAAAATAAATAAATTTTAATTAAATATTTTACATATAATCATAAAACGTAAATAAATAATACTTACAATTATATTATCTAGATTCTTATTTCAGTCGAACATAATAATTTATTAAAAACACCAAAATAATTGCCTTTGATCTGATCTGATCTGTCAGGTATTAAATACACTTTTTTCTATTAACAAATTTTTTGCAATTATTTAAATTGATATTTTAACGTAAATGACACAAATCCATTAAAATATGTATGTATGTTTAATTCAAAACTATAATCCGACGACGTTTTTATTATTTTTTTTTATTTACGATACATGATAAATTATATAATATATATATGTAAGTTTGTCACAAATTCTTATTACATAAAAAATTAAACATAAGATCTCCAAATAACTTTCTTATTCGCAATTTTTTTAATTTCATAAATATATATCTATATATTGGACTAAAATTTCAAAAAAATATAAACGTTTTTCTTTAAAAAAAAAAACATATTTAGAAAATACAATAAAATAAAAAAAAATGACCGTTTGTTTTCGCTTAACGTGGCACTAATTAGTACGCCAACTTTCAAAAACGGATATAGATGTCGCTAGCGTCGCATGCGTTATTTTCAAAACAATAAAACCGTTAAACGATAATATTTTTAACGTGAAAAAGAAATCAAATTTTTAACGAACTTTTTCTTTTTTTTTACGTTTAAAACAGTGAATAATTACGTATTACAAAGAATACTTTTCTTTTAATTTTCCAAAAAAAAAAAACAAAAACGTTAAACATTACAACGTTACAATAAAAAATTCGTTAAAATTCGTTAAAATTTTTTTTTCTCGTTATAACTGTAAGTAATTTATCATTACATTATAAAAAAAAAATACATAAAAACAATTTAGGATTAAATAATTATGTTCCGTAAATAGTAGAAATGCAACGAATCGTCAGTTTTTCCTTTTTTGACTAGTAAAATAAAATTCGTTCTAATTACATAATGTAAATAATTCCATATATAGAATTTATAAAATTTTATATTTTACGGTTAAAAAAATGTATTTTATATATATATATATATATATATATATATATATATATATATATATATATGTAATTAGTAAAATATTTAATTAATTAATTAATTAATTAAAAAAACGGTTTTCTTCCTTAAATGCAACATTTAACATGGTAACACATAATGTCGTGTGCAATATTACATTACTTTCACTTAATTTTTAATTATGTAATAAAAAAAAAAAAAAATTACATAATTACTATATATATATATACACAAATAATTTCTCTATTATTATTAACCTTCTTTCCTTCCTTCCTTTCTTTCTTTCTTTCTCTTCCTAGTTTCACTATCAAAAAATAATAATAATAATAATAATAATACAATAAGATAAAATAATAAAAAAACTAATAAAACTCACAATTAAAAAAATAATAGAAAAATTAATTAATATTATATATATATATATATAAAAATGAAAAATCATCATGATTCTTAAAAAATTTTTTTTTTCAATTAATTACTGTTATTAAATAATATTAATAATAATAATGATGAGGATTACATCAAGGTAAAAATAAATTAAAATAGTAAAAAAAAAACTCAGTAAAAAAAAAAAAAAAAATCTACACGTTAAATAAAAATTTTTATTTCTTCCGAATGTTTATTAAAAATAAATGCAAGAAATAAAATTATTAAAAAAAAAAAAAAAAACCTGAGAAACGACGTTACTAATAATAATAATAATAATAATAATAATAATAATAATGATGATAATAATAATGATAATAATAATGATAATGATAATGATAATGATAATAATAATAATAATAATAATGATAATGATAATAATAATAATAATAAATGTGTAAAGTAAAAAAATTTTCTTTTTTTTCCTCCTTCATAAACTTATGTGCGAGCAAACGATACACGATTTCTCTTCATCTTGTATTATTCGCCATTCGAAACAATAAGGTACAACCTATTTTAATAATAATAATAATAATAATAATAATAATAATAATAATAATAATAATCAAAAAGAAATTTTTTTCTTTCTTTCTTTCTACACATATATTTAAAACCATTTAAAATGTTTAAAATCAATTCAACTTTCAATAAATAAATTTCTTTTATTTCTTCCCCCTCCTCCCGTTCCTCCCTACTTTCTTTCTCCCTCTCCCTTTAATTAAAAATAAGAAGAATGAAAATTTCACGAAACAAAAAAAAAATAGTAATAATAATAGTAATAATAATAATAATAATAATAAAATCCAATTAAATTTTAATTAACAATAATTATTTTCACACTCTCGCAATCACAGTAATAATTATTATTATTATTATTATTATTACCATTATCATTCACTTTTATATATTTTTCTCTTTTATAATTTACGTGCGTATTTATTAAATATTTAAAAACAAAAAAAAAAAAATTTTCTCTTTCATTATTATTATTATTATTATTATTAATTTTCTTATTTTCCATTTCTTCGAACATCTTATTACGTCATCAATTAAATATTTATTTATAATAATAATAATTATTGTTTAAAAACAAAAAAAAACCTCAATTTCATTTTTCATTGTTTCGAGTGAATATACGTATATAACGACAATAATAATAATAATAATAATAATAATAATAATAATAATAATAATACTAATAATAATAATAGTAATAATAATAATAATAAATATTATTCATTACAATGAACTAATAAATTATCGTGAAAAAAATTTTTATTAACCTTTTTCTTTTTTCTTTTTTTTTTCTTTCAAATTTCATTATTATTATTATTTAAACAATTAATAAATAAATAAATAAATGATTTAAACGCGTTTATTTATACTTAATTAAAAATAAATAATTAATAACGTGTTCGGTATTATTATTATTATTATTTTTACACAAAAAAAAAAAAAAAAAAGAAATTGTCATTACATATTAACGTCCCTATTACTATCACTATTATTATTAATATTATTATTATTATTATCAATAATTAATTATTAAATAGTTTTATTAAATTGACATATTTGATTATTACATATTTTTTTTTTTTTTATAAACTACTCGTTAACTAATATCAATAAATATATATATAATTTTAATTTATTTATAACAAATGTACATTGAGTCCCTTTTTTTGAATGCGATAAATTTTACTTAATCATTATTATTATTATTATTATTATTAATAATAAAAGAGTATTGCAAATAAATTTAGGCCTTAAAATTTAACGGAACAATAATAATAATAATAATAATAATAATAATAATAATAATAATAATGATAATAAATTTCTTTTTTTTCAACTACGAAACGAATTACAACGAACGAACTAATTAGAAAAGAAAAAAAAATGAATTAAATTTAAAATGAAATGAAGGCACGAGCGTAAAACTACTTCCGCTACTACTACCACTACCACTACTACTACTACTACTACTACTACTACTACTACAACTACTACTACAACTACAAAAAAAAAAAATAATAATGATAATAAATTCGTCCGTTACAAAACTTTCAATTTGTTCGTGAAAACAATAAAAAAAAAAAATTAATTAATCAAACCGCGAATCCATAACAATTTTTTTTATTTAAATTTCTTTTTTTTTCGTTTCTACCAAAAATATTATTATTATTATTATTATTATCGTAATCATCATCATCATCATCATCGTTAGATAATATAATAATATAAACAAACAAATTTTTAACTAAGTACGAAATTTTTAAAGTTTTTCTTCTTCTTCTTTTAAAGCTATTATAATAAATAATAACAATAATTATTATTATTATTATTATTAAATATTTTTATTGTTGTTGTTTTTGTTTTGGTTGTTGTTGTTGTTGTTTGTGTTTCTGCTTTTTTTCTTTTTGTCGTCTTCATTCTTCGTAAAATCTCTTCGTCATTTCATTTTTTTTTTGTCTTTCTCTTACGAAACAAAATTGAAACTATCGAAAGAAAGAGAGAGAGGGAGAGGGAGAAAGAGAGAGAGAGAGAGAGAGAGAGAAAGAGAAAGAGAGAGATAGAAAACTTCATACATCAACGATCGTTAATGATTGTCTCCAATTGATTGCGATCGATTCGACGATTAAAAAAAAAAAAAAAAAATTTTCTTTTTTTTTTCTCTTTCGCTCAATCGAAACCTTTCGAAATCGAAAAACGAGAGAGAGAGAGAGAGAGAGTGAGAGAGAGAGAGAGAAAACATTCAAACAATATATAAAGGAGAAAAATTAATAAATAAATATTTGTTCGTGATTCGTCAAAACGAAATCGACAAACATGTTTATGGGTCCGATTGCCGAAAGGGAAAGTTGTGCCGTGTCCGACCATATCAAATTCGGACCGAAAACGACGGCTAAATTTGATGACGTCATCTTATTTAAATCGCAACGGTCCATTACCTAAAAAAAAAATGTTAGTAATAATCATAATAATAATAATAATGGTATCAAAATAAAATACGTATTATCGCCACATCATCCTCGTCATCCTCATTATTTCAAATACCTAAACTATCGATAGCGAGTAACGATTACGTATTTAACTCATTATTATTATTATTATTATTTAAAGTAAATAACGTAAACATTACCTTGGCTAAAAATTGAACTATATACTTCAAAATATGATAATTATCCTCGGGTAATTTTTCTCTTATCAGTATCGTGACGTGTCTTAATCTTTCATCTTTGGATATACATTGAAATTGAGTTATTTCCTCGAATAAATCGTACGTCATAAGCGGCTCTTCTAATTCCCTAAAAAAAGGAAAAAAAAAAGATGATGAAAAAATTTTCCTTCCTTTCTTTTTAAATCATTATGAAAATAATAATGATAATAGCATTTACCTTAGGAATGTTTTGAGTAAAACAGCAGCTAAATGTACGTCCCCTTTAAAATCAACTTCTTGTCCTTGATTTAATTTATTTTGATATTCTCGCAAGAGTGAAATGTTAGCAGAACGCCGGAAAATCCCTTCGGTTTCCAAAGCTAAAAGAAAATGTTAAATTATCAGGTGATAATCAGGTGAATGAATGAATGAATTTGTCGTCGTCGTCGTACCATCAGGTTGACATAAAAATCTCACGCATTGACTTATGACGGGCGGTATGACTTCTCCATCGTTGTTGTCTTTTATGAATTGTAGCGAAACTCCAAATTGTTGCGTGGGAAGTGGAGCGTGAAATTTTGAATCTCCGATATCTTTTTCAGGTGGCGGCAACGGTTTTTTAGATTTTTTCGATATAAGTTCGTCGTGTCTTAAAAGAAAATTATTATAATCGTTAGCACGTCACTTTTACGTCACTCTCACGTGCAAACAATAAACATAATAAAAAAGAAAAATGATTACTCAATGACTGGTTGAGGTATTGAAAGCTGATATGGTAATTCTACTAAATTATGAAGTTCTTGAAGACTATTTACATACATAACTTTCCTCCCGAATTTCGCGCTGGAAAAAACAAAATAATAATAATAATAATAATAATCATGAAGAGTTCCATGAATTATTTACATGGTTGCCGCTCGAATTCATGCTCACCTGATAACAGCTCTAAAAACTTGCCAAACTAATCGAATAAAATTCGTAGGATGAACTAAATAAAGCGCTTTTAAATTTTTTTTATATTTTCTGTCGAAAGCTCTGTAAGCTTGCCAAAGCCATGACAGAGTCGGTTTATTACGACTATTTAAACCATAGTGAAGATAGACTAGACTGTAATCTTGTTCTACATATTTGTCCAATGTAAACATTAGATACCTAAAAAAAAAAAAAAAAACCAAGTTTACATTTTGTTTACACAGAATAAAAAGTAATAATATTGTTGTTATTATTATTATTACTAATATTTGTTTAATAAATATTTGATAAATTATACATTTTACACATTTAGACGATTTGATACACACACTGAAAAAATGATTGATTGTAATTCGAATATGAATCGAATCGAAACGAAAAACAAATAATAATAATAATAATAATAATTGTAAAAATAAATTTAATTAATGAGTCAAAAATCAAACATGATGAATATATTAAAATGTTATGAACGATAAAATTCTCAGAATAATTATTGTAAATGTTTGCTAGTGAAAAATAATTTTGTCGAGAAAAATAAAATGAGAAAATTATTTTACAATATCGATTATTAATTAAAATTTCAAAACAATTTTAAAACTCACTTAAGTAGCCTTTGGTGATTGAGTTCTTTATTACTAGGTAACTTGCATGCAGACACAACAATAACTTTCCTTCCATAAGGATCATCTCCTGCAACTTCGACAATACCATATTTTTCAATGTCGCTAAAATCTTCATCGCTTAAATCCTCTTCGTCGTTTTTAACATTATATTGTAATGAATCGAGACCACCGTCAAGCAACTAAAATGGAAAATCAAATTTTCAATTGAATTTTTAAATTCATCAAGCAAATAAATTGTTTTGCAGAATAAAATTTATAATATTTAATTACTTAAAATAATAATAATCATAAATAAATGGTTACTACAATTTGAAAAACATTTTAATACATACCGTGGGAGCATTTACTAATTCGGCCTCAAAATTTTCTTCAATAGTTCCATCGGATACAGGAGACTCTAAAAAATCTTGATCTAAATCATTTATAGGTCCTTTTAAATCTGCTGTAATTAGAGTTAAAAGAAAAAAAAAAAACAATTTAAAAAAATGAGCAAATTAAAAAACTGGTTCACTTTCACTACTACATTAATAATAATAATAATAATAATAATAAATTAACTTCTCACCATTTCCAACTGTAGCAACCAATTCTGTGTCATCAAACTCCAAATTGGGTTCATAATCGTGATAATCTGACAAACTCGGATAAGGATCTTCTGGTTCGTGACCTCCAACACCGAAAAAGTAAGAAAGAAAACCAAAATAACAATTCATGCCATTGAAATAATAATAATCGAGTTTTATCGAGATCCCTCCTATGAGGATATTTTAAAATGTATAAAATTCCCATTGTCAATGTGAAACACAAAAAAAAAAAAAAAAAAAAAAATTATTCCATGGAACAATACTTTCACTTACACTATTTACTTTTTTCTCCTTCTTTACTATTATTATTATTATTATTATTTAATTTAATGTTTTGTATCGTTTATGAATAAAATATTTTTCTTTTTTTTTATATTATTATAATAACCATCATGCCGAGACAAAACATTACACTTTAATAATTGCCATCATCATAACATTATTAATGCAATAAAAAGTAGTTAAAAAGTGTAACAGAAATCATTACCACAATTTCTCACATTAGAGAAAATTATTTTTTTAATTAAAATTTTTTATAAAAAAAAAAAAAAAAAAAAAAGAAAAATGGGTAACAATACAAACAATAAATGACAAACAATGTTGACATTAAAAATAAAAACCCCCGCCCCCAGAATTTTCATATTTTTTTTTTTCCTTTTTAATGACATAAATTATTACAATAATAAATTTGAAAAATATGTTTTGATTCAATTTAACAATTAAATTAATATTTGATTATTATTATTATCAATTAGAAAGGGGAAAAAACTAAAATCTCAAATAAAAAACGAAATGTAAAAAACGCAAAAAAAAAAAAAAAAAAAAAAAAAAAAAACGCAGCAGACATTTTTCCTTTCCGTTTGATAATTGGATAATATATATATATAAAACTTACCTCCTACCAGAGCATTTGATAAAGGTTTTAAATTAGGTTGACAATCTGTTTCCATATTCATGTTAAAATATTTAACATCTGCGATTCATAATTCATTCTTGTTATCAAACTGTGGCAACACCTACTAAAATTATTTTATTCCCGATATTCACAAGTTAAAAATTATTAATACTCCCACTAACAATATATATATATACGTAGATGTATTGTTACTCGTTTGACTGTTTAGATGTGACTGCTCAACTGCTTCGAGAGTCAACACTAGCGACAGCCCCCGCTCAATTTATTAAATGCATTCAATTAATTATATTTACCTTATGTTATCGTCAATTATTTTATATTTTTTTTTTTTTCCTCCGCTAAAATTTAAATTTTAACCGTTACTCGTTCTTCTTTCTCGCGATTTTCAAAATTTATATATTTCACCCTTTGTGCAATTTTTAACTTGAAAATAATTTTAAAAAAATGTCTCCTTTTTAATTTTTTAAATGCGAAACCCTAATAAAATAACTTACTAAAAAAAAAAATTAATTTATCTATATAAATTTTAAACGTGAGTTTAATTTCTGTTATGTTTTCAAAATTTAGTAATTTTGGCTTAACGGTTTGTTTTATTATTAGACTATGATTTACGAAAAAAAAAAAAAAAGAAATAAAATTTTCAATGAATTATCATTATTGATAAAAAAAAAAAAAAAAACGTTAGTCTATAAATATTTCCCATTACTACAAACAATTTTAATAAATTTTTTAAGAATTACTTTTTTAATTTAACTTTCGAACCCCCCGCCTCCGCCCCCACCCCCCGTTTAAAGGTATTTCCGTTAATTTTATTATCATCGATTTTAAATTTTCCGCCATTTTGAATGAATAGTAAATATTTATTCCCTTAAAATCGAATATTATTACTCAATAATAATAATAATAATAATAATAACAATAAATAAAAAATTCATTTTTTCACCCTCTCTTCCTCCCCCCACCCCCCCCAAAAAAAAGAAAAAAAATTTACTATTAAAAAACTTTTCTTTATTGTCTTTCTTTTCCATTCTGCTTTACAATATACCTGTACAAACACATATACCTGTACAAAAATTGTTTCTTGATTTAATAAACATTCCAGAAAGAAAAACATTTAATTCAAACGAGGGTTAAATATTAACCCCGTTGATTACAATAATAATTTTATTGATAAGATTTTCCAATTTTCCACTTTTCCTTCGTTAACTTCCGTCGTTCATTTTTCTTTTCTTTTTAAATTTTCCTTTTTTTTCTTTAAAACTATCAATCTTTCTCTTTCTTATTTCCCGTTTCTTTTTCTGTCTATCTATTTTTCTTTTTGCCGCTTTTTCCGGATTTATAACGAACTGAAAAGAATCAAAAAAAAAAAAAAATTTTTTAAACTCTTTATTTTTCCGGGGGCGGGGGGGGGGAGACGAGACGAGAGTAAATCTTTTCGATTATACCTCTTGTGCTATTTTATTTTTCCTCTCCGTTCTTTTTTCTGCCAATTTGGCATTTATTTTAATGACTTCTTTCGAATACGTTTCCATTCCAACTTTCTTTTTAAATATTCCGCAAACTTCGACGACCAAAGATTTCATCGGATGATTTTCACCCCCCTGCTGTACTATTTCTCTTTCTCTTATTATCGGTGCCATCATGTGATATAAAACGGATTTGAGAGTCGATTTGGGTAAACACATGGCGACGGCACCCAACCAATTGAAAACCGTCATTCTCTATAAAAAAAAAATTTTCATTTTTTTTTTTCTTTGACCTTTGACCTAGTTAAATTTTCCATTTTTTTAAAAAATCAATTTATTTACCAATATTTTACTCGATGGATTTTGCGAAAGTTCCAAATTGACGATTCTTCTCATTCTTTTTATCATCCACAATAGCGAAAGTTTTGGCTTTTCCACGTCGTCGTCTTCCTCCTCGTCGCTATCATCATCATCATCATCATCGCCGGCATCTTCTTCGTCGTCGTTCTCAACTTTTCCATTTAAATTTTTCTTATTTTTTTTAGGTTTTTCCATTACACCGCTTAAAACTCTTGCCAAATAAACTAAATTTTTAACGTTCTGAAAAAAAAAAAAAAAAGAAAAATTATTAACAATCGAACAAAAGGGCGGGACGGGGGCAGGACGGAGGCGGGGCAAGGGGAGGAGGTAAATTTGCCACACCTGATCTAAAAATTCTTGAGTTATTTCAATCCCCGGTATGAATTGCGAACAATGATCCAATATTAAACTTTTGATTCGTCTGTGAAGAGTTTTAGGTTCCAAAAATGAAAGTTTTTGACTACTGCTACTCGTTTTACCATTTAATACGGCTGCGACGTCGTTGGGATCGCAAGAATTGAATACGTAACCGAGAAATTGAGATGCTGCGAGACGTATCCATTCGTGAGCGTGACAAAGTAAATTTTGAGCCGTTTCTAACGAAAAAAAATTTAAATGTATCAGGTGCACAGAAGAAAAAAAATTTCAACCTCCTTGGTGCGTTTGTAAAAACACACACACACACGCACCAGTCAAAAAATGTATGTTTTCCTGATATTTATCCGACGTGAGAAAATCCGGTACGTTCGAACATATTTTTATGACGAGTTGCATGACTTGAAAAAAATGATGATCTTCATCTCTGTTTTCCGCCGCGTTCTCTCGAACCAATTTGACAAATTTTCCGGGTCTCGAATCTCCGACGAATTGACTTTGTATTATCGGCAGCAAAACCGGAAGTCGACTTTCGAATTCTTCTTTTTCGATCGATGCAAATATTCCAGAGATTTGTGCTGCCAACCGTCTGAGAGTTAACTAATCGGCAGCAACAACAGAAAAAAAATTAATAATAATAATAATAATTCGAACGCGATATCTATCAATCGTGACGATGTAGTAGTGTTGACGTCATCATCACCTTTTTTTCTTTGAAATAAATCATGAGAACATCGAATAATTGATCTCTGTGACCTTTATCCAATCTCGTTAGCATGGCTTTGATCAAACCCGATATTATTTTTTTACAATTTACGCTGTCGTCATTTATTAAACTCGCTCCTAACGTGAGCAAAAACACTCCGCTCAATTCTTCCAATTTTTCCTGCAAAATAATAATAATAATAATAAAAATGTAGACATTTACGCAGATGCAGAAGACGAAGAAAAAAGAAAAACTTTTTACTACTACTACTTACGATTGGAAAATGTCCAATGATACTTTTTATCATTTCCAAACTCGATTGTCTTCCACTTTCCGTGTCGTAATTCAATTGCGACGTGAAAAAACCTATGAATTCTTCGACTTTCGATTTTAACGGATATTCCATGATGTAATGAAAAACGCATTGTCGGGCTTGTTGTCTCACGTGTGAATGATCCGAAGTTATCGACAAACTCGCGACTTTGTTCATCAATTCGTGCAATTCCGGACTGTTTAATTTTTTTTTCAATATCGTTCTGAGTAGGGAAAACGCGGTCGCTTGCCGCGTCGTGTCGTATATGTCTTGTTCCGTGTACAATAAGAGAATTTTCAATTGTTCACTCGTGATACCGTGATAATTCGTTTCTCGTATCAGCGTGCTCACGGTCTGAAAAACCATTATACAAAAATAATTCACAATCGCCATATTTGATTTTTTTTTTTGCCTTCTTTTACAAAAAAAAAAAAAAAAAATTTACCTTAAACGTCGCTAAAACAAGATCGAAATTGTTTCCTTTCGACAAACCCGCAGCAGCGTATTTGTGCAACGTCGTAAACAAACAATCCGTTATTTTTTTAACGTTCTCTCTCAAACTCGGAAGATTGTATTTGATGAATTTCGACAGGCATTGTACGGCGAGGGTGGATACCTTAAAATGACATCGCGCACCGATATTAGCATAAATAAATAAATAAATAAATAATTTGATAAACAAAAAACACGTGTCACCATCTTACTTTAACTTGTTGCGAATCCAGAGAGTTGACGAGAATGGGAGCGATGGGATCGAGATAACATCTTAAATCCCGATCGCAATTTTTCAATTTTTCTTTTTTCATTATGACGTATAAAAGACCGAATCCGAATTCTACGATTATATGAGCGTTGGATTTCGTACCTTTTTTTACGGGATTGCTTAGCGTTCCCAATCTGTTTTTCGGTTCCGGCGGTATAATATAACAATCCGTTTTCTCCTGAAAAATAACAATAATAACAAACGATTAATTTTAAAATTTCCTTTCCCCCCTCCCCCCCTCCCCCCCAGGAATTTTCTTCTTTCTCACTTTGTAATTTTTTTCCTTCGAGAGTTCAACGGTCATTTTAGGCGGCAATAATTGCGGAATGCTTTCCGACGTCGTACCGTAAATGTAAATAAATAAATTTTCGAATGATATGTATTGATTGGCCGAGAGACCCAGAGTCACTTGTCTTAAATATTCCCTACACTTGACTAGGTTTTTATGAGTGTACGAAGTTTGAAGTACCTGGAAAAAAAAAAGGTACGGAAATCGTATTCATTTATCGTGTGGAATAATCAACCTTAAAATTAAAGGATCGCTCACGTCTTTAACGGGTAAAATTAAATCCGTCAAACATTTTTCCGTAATGCATTGAGCGATGAGATTAATTAAATGATAACTTTTAGTTGATTTCGCTTCCTTATGTTTAGCTTGTATTTTGATGACTTCTTTTTCTTCGCTCAAAGCTTCGAACAAATCCGATTTGCAAGCCTAGAAAAAAAAAAAAAACACCCCCCATTTAAAGGAAAAAGTTTTTCGGAAAAATTTTTCCGGAACACATTTTCGGAAAATTTTTCAGACTCACGTCCAACAATATGGGTAAATTTTCATCGATGTCACCGGGTTTTAACAAACCGTGAATGTGAAGAATGACCGCGTGCATCGTGTAAACCGACACGTGCAAGTGAAATCCTTTTTTCAATGACGTAGACATTTCTTCCAACAGCAAATGCAAATATTTCGGACCGAGAGTAAAAAGTATTTGCTGTAGCGTTTCTCTCGTTACCCGACGCACGCTCTCTATACGTGATTTTAGATACGTGCAAAGCATCATAAAAATACTGAAAAAAAAATTCTTTTTAACGAATACGACGATTTCCCCCCCACCCCCCCCCAAAAAAAAAATTAACGTACCCCGGCAACTGACGATCGAGTATTCTTTCCGGTAATTTTTGTAATAATTTCACCAACGTGACCGCGATCGGAATTTTAAGCAAATCTTCTTCTTCTCTATCCGCGCTGACATTTTTGTAATTGAGTTTATGAGTGCTTTCAACTCGCGTTTTCCTCGTCAAAATTTTATACAATTGATTTAAAAGGGATCCCGCTATGGCTTTTTCAACTTTCAAAGCAGCGAACGGTTTAAGAATTTCCTAAAATAAAAACAAACAAATAAATAAATAAATAAAAGGTTTTAAATCATTTGACGCCCGCAAAAACTCACGATTTTTTCTATGGCAAGTTTATTTTCCTCTTGTTTTTGTACATTTTCTTCTTGGGATTCATCAACTTCCTCCGATTCCTTTTCCAAAACTTCCACCAATTCTTCAACCAATTCTTTAGATTTTTCCCGAGTTTTATTTTTTTTTTTATTCTTCATCGATTTCCCATTTTCCACATTTTCCGATTCGTTCGTTATATTCTTTATTTCGACTTCATCAACATCTTTATTCTCGCCGTTTGAGTCGTTTGGTTTTAAATTTTCTTTTGATTCCTTTTCTGATGAATCATCATTAGAGGTTTTTTCTTCTTCTTCTTCTTCTTCCTTAGGAGTTGCATCCACATCCATAACTTTTAGCAAATGATTTTTAGCAAATAATTTTAGTAATAGAAAAAAAAAAAAAAAAAATCTAATTTTCGTAAATATGAAATCACTCCATTACCTTCATTTTTCCTGTTTTTCATCGAGTTGCTGTTGTTGTTGGACTCACTTGCTGGAGAACTGGAAATATCAAAATGAAAAGCGTCCAAAATTGCAATAACGGTTCTCGTGAGCTGTTTTTGAAATTCGAGTTTTCCATGAAGTTTCGTCAAATAAAATCGAAGAACCATTTGATAATGATGCCACGGAAGAAACCTACAAACGGTAGCCACAGCCTGAAATATATATTTAATTATTATTATCACGTGATTATTAAAAAAAAAAAAAAAAAAAAAAAAAAAGAAAATCATCATTGTGAAAAACTGACTTCGATCGCGGAGTCGATCAAACTGTTTTTTCCCGCGTATTTCGAACAAGCCAGATATCGAGTTGCAAGCGGTAAAATAAATTGTAGTAGAGTTCTTGTGGATAATGACTTTTCCAACGTTTTTGCCGTATTGGAAAATCTACAAAAATATATGTAAAATTTAATAAACAACGTGTCGAAAAAATTATTTTTGTAAATGATAATAATTTACTTTTGTAGCGCTTTCAATCTCCTGTAAATTTGCAAATGCTGTGCGTTTTCGAAAAAATCAACTTCCGGATCGAGTTTGTTGGTCAAAATGGACAAATCTCTAAGTACCGGATGTAAGTCGCCGCATTCTCGAGCCTGAAAAATTTATCGATTCGCACGTGAATATGTATATCGATACATTTGAATGCGTATCGCGGTAGAAATCGACTTACCATGACACCCAACAGCGAAATCGATAAACCCTGAACGTTTTCGTTTTCGGATACGATCCCCTTTTTGACTAAAAATAAAATGCTTTCCAACCAATGTTGTTTTAATAAACCTTTTCCTTTTAAGAAATAAGCAATCTTGGGACAAATTTCTTTCAAATAAAACGAAGCGTTATCCCGCAGCGAAATATCTTGTTCCTGATGAGTAAAAAATCGTATTTATTATCGATTAATCGAATCGAATCGATTATCGGGATCGATTTCGACTTACGCATCGAACGAAATAAAAACTGTTGTGCAACACAATGAATGCCAAATCCGTATTTAAATTTTTTTCGAGAGTCAAAGTTTTAATTTTCTTATACGCTTCCAACCTCCTATCGAAATCCGGTTGATCGACACGTTTTGCATCCCACGAATTGAGATCCGAAATTAAAGTGAAAACTTGATGGATTTCCGGACAACGTTTTTCTATCGTTCCAATCAAATTGATTAAAATGACGCGAGCTTGCTTTAATTCTACGATTCCGAAAAGGGGAGCGAGTTGACTGAAATAATAATAATAATAATAATAATTATTTGTATCTTTAATTTTAAAAAAAAGTAACCATGCGGTCACTCACCGCAAATATCCCGAAGGATTTACTACAACGTTTGCGAGATTTTCCAAAGTTGTCACCATGTTGATCAATACATCGTCCTCTTCGTTCGCGTACGTTTTACGCGTGCTCAGTAATTTGATGAGTATATTCATGAGAGCATCGCCGTGTTCCGTCGATGTCGCCATTTCTGAAATTCTCGAAAGGACCGTCATTTGTCCTTTGCCGAACGTCGACAAATCCGATTTTTCCAATTTTCTTCTCAAATACGTCAATATCATTCCGACATGTGGAAAAAGAATTTTCGAACCGTAATTCAGTTCTTCTTTCACTAAAAGAAAAATTTTTTTTAAAAAAAAAGTTACGCTTAAAATTATTATTATTATTATTATTTTTTTTACTTACGAGTTAATTTCGAAATTTTATCTTCTTCCACAGGTAGTATAAAATCGACTTCAATAGGAGTATAATTTTCTTCTTGTTCGTCGTCATCATCATTTGGGGTGTTTTCCTGAAGCGTCAAAAGATTTTCAAGCATTGAAGAAATGCAGGAAGTCACAGAATTTTCCGCTTTTTCATTTATGAGCAATTTCATCGTAACCGACAAAGGAGTCATTTTTTCTTTCTCGTCATTATAACGAGCAAGTAATTTAAAATACCTGAAATCGATGAAATACATATAAATTTACATTTCGAATGAAATTTTTCGCACGTTTAAATTAAATTAAAATTACCTCGGGTTTTTAGACCAAACGGAAAACAATCTTAAAAGACCCGCAGAACCGTGAATCCCTTCGATCGATAATTTAGACAAATTCGGCCAAACGAATACGTTAAATATCGCATTTATATCGTCTTCCCTCCATGGGAAATCTTGAAATCGATCGAAAAATTTTATTACGAAATCGATGCAAGTCGTTTTTAAATTTTTCAACGATGAAAAATATCCACTGTAAACTTGATCCCTGTAAAAAATAAATAGAAAAACTTTGTAAAGTTATTAAAAAAAAAACCCTGGATGGTAATTTTCAAAAATAAATAACCTTTTCGCGTATATTCCACAGACGTAAGATCCGACCGAAAGGACAACTTTCAAAATGTATCTTTGTAAAGAATCAATCATCAAACCGCCGAAACTATTCAAAACAACTTCTGCAAGGTTCACGGTGCTTAAAAGTTTTTTTAAAAGCGGTACTTTTTTCAAATCGACAGAATTTATTATTTTCCCAAAATCAAAAACATCGGCTAAAAAATAAAAAATAAAAAAAAAAATACATTTGATCATTTCAAAATGGCCGCTGCAATTCTCCAAACGACAAATTTAAAAAAAAGGTTTTATCAAGTTTACAAGAGCGTACTCGAGCAGTAAACATTCCATCTTTTAAACGCCATTTTTAAAAATATTTCTTTTTCAGACTGAGAAATCCCCGATAGAAATCTTAAAATTATCGATCTTCTGAGTGCGTTCGCCGAACTTTTATTCCCTCTCGACGTTGAACTCAAATATAACATTTTGCTGTATAATATCCTGTAGAGTAAATTAGGAAAAAAAAAAAAAAAATTTGTCACGAGTCTAAAGTTTAAAGAAAATCATTTGAAAAAGTAGTAGTCAATGTTACGACCTCATAACTATCGGCATGAGTTCTTCTCTGTGCACATCCTTCACGCCTCCAGATTCGGCATCAACTTGAAAATGAACGAGTTCATCTTTAAATTTACCATCGTCGATCAGATTCGATAAATTTTGCTTGTACGGAACCATGTAACTGTATTTGTACTTAAATAAACACTCCAAAGCTTTTTTTTGTATTTCCGCATCTTTGTACACGAGCAACGACAAGTAGGAATCCCGAACTTCCGGTTCTTTAAAACAATGTTTGGGATTTTTAAATTTGGACAGTAAAGTCAATTGAGCGATGGCACACCTTAAAAATTATTATAAAAATTTCAATGTTAGCGTGTAATTTAATTTTTCCCGATCTAAACGATTAATTTATGGGTTACTTTATTGTATTCCCGTAGGAAGTTTTGGATTTTGAATCTTCTTCAATCACATCATCAGGCAAATCTTCTAGACTTTTTTCACTGCTCTCAGATTCATTCTTTTGTATGTTAATGGTTAAAGCACTGTCAAAACTAGTTTTCAAAACTTCATTTCTAAAAACAAATTTTTTTTTTTTTTTTTTCAGTAAAATGATCAAGTAATTAATTATAATTTTAATCATTTTCTGTAATTCGATAACAATAAACTTGAAAGTGAACTTCTCTTACTGTATAAATGGTAAGTAAATGGAAATCACATCCCTGTGTTTGGCTTCACAAATTTCTGGAAATAAATTCATTGTAGTCCATAGTAAATTCCTATAATTTTCATGATCAACTTTATTCGAAGCCCTTATAAACATTAAACTGTCCAAGAAGTAATCATCTAAAATTATACAGCAAACAAAAAAGTCATGAAAAAATAAACAAAACTTTAAATTTAAAACATTTTTATATGATTGACACCTAAAACGGGCAATTCGTAATCTTCCATCAATGCCATTCCTTTACAATAAGCCGTTGAAGTTCTCAATTGTGAAAAAAATATATCCCAAAATGTATTCACGGGCATTCCAACCGAGTAGGAAGCTATCAAATTAGACACGGGTTCCCAAATTAGTTGAAAATTATTATATAAAACTCCTAATAAGTATTTAAGTAGCACCTAAAATAAAAAAAAACAAACAAATAATTTGACAAATTATTTGATGGAAGAATTTTTTGACCTTTAAATTGCAACAATTTTTTATCAACGTCTTCAAAACTATTTTTCCCACCCCCCCCCAAAAAAAAAAACCGTTGAGATTGCAGTGGCAGGAGTTAAAAATATGTGCGCGCTAACGTTGTACGCACATGATGGACGGTACAAATGAATACAAAAATGAAACGATTATTATTTCAAGGAGCTGAATCAAAGGTTTACATTCAAGATTTTTTAGGAAAAGAAATTTTGGTGAAAGAAAGATTTAAAAAACATTACAGACATTCCGAATTAGATAGTTATTTAACGAAAGAGAGAATAAGGGCGGAATGCCGCAATATTGTCAGATGTAAACAATTAGGTAAATGAAAATGAATGTAATCATTTACAACTCAAAAATATGTACACCAAAAAAATAAAAAATAAAAAATAAAAATAGGGCGACTACGTCACACCCACACTATAAAATTTAAAATTAATTTTTATCAATTGTAATAACCATTAAAAATAATTAAACTAACCAATTTAGGTTAAGTTACTAAACCACGTGAATTTGAATTTTTTTTTTTAGGAATTAAAACTCCGACGATTTATTTCGTGGATCTTAACAAGAGAGTAATTTATTTAGAATATTTCAAGTCGAGCGTTTCCGTGAAACAGTATTTTGAAAAATTGGAAAGAGAAAATGAGTTGACAGATGATAAAATCAAAGAAGTGGCTTATTTATTAGGAAATGCCATTGCTAAAATGCATTCCAATAACATGGTACACGGAGATTTGACCCCTTCTAATTTTCTCATACAGAAAAATGAAGTGACAAATAAAAATGAGATAATAGTCATTGATTTCGGGCTGAGTCATTTAGAGGCAAGCGATGAGGATAAAGGCGTAGATTTATATCTTCTCGAAAGAGCTTTGGTCAGCATGAATGTTAACGCATCACAATTTTTCAAAGATATTTTGCAAAAATACAAAGAGACTTATAAAAAAAAAATCAATTCAGTCTTACAAAAATTTGCAGAAGTAAGATCGAGGGGAAGAAAGAGATGCATGGTTGGGTAAACCATGAGTACAAGAGTAAAATAAAATGTGATTATCAACAATTGTGCAATGACAAATTAAAGACCTCACTTTTGCAAACGGGGAGGAGAAAAAAAAAAAAAAAAAAAGTTATAAATATTTAATTTTTACCTTACCTTGTGATTTTCCTCTTCCACAGAACTCAGTAATTCAAATTTAAGCCTATCCAATATCATTAATTTATTTCTATAATCGTTCACAGTCAAAGGCACAAATTCGGCATCCGATGCATCTTGAAGTGCTTTCATCATTAATTTCGACGGTTTTTCTTTAAATTCTTCTAATTTTTGCAATGAATTAACTGCTAATAATCTTGAATTCGTTTGTGATGATAATAACCATTCTTGTATTGTTTTATTTAATTCTTCGAGACAATTTCCAGAAAACGTGTAACCATTTTGCAATGTCAAAAATAAATTGAAAGCTTTAAGTGCCAAAATCGATTTATCAGTCTTTAAAGTCTTGAGCATTTTTTCAACGAAGAAATCGGAATTTAAGTCGCTCAAGTCTGTGATTTTATTTTTAAAATGCAAAAGTGTTTTCAAAGCCACACAAATGGTAAATAATAATATTTTTTTTTTGTTTTCTTCTTCTTCTGACGATATTAATAACTCAAGTAATTTATTTATAACTTTCACGACAGTGTTTATGCATTGTGAATGATCTACCGGTTCAAAATGTCTCAACAGTATTAACGAGCACAAAATATTTTTTAATTCTTCATTTTTTTCTAAAAAATTATTCAACAATTCAATTGTAACATTGAATATATGCATTGTCTCTCCATGTAACGCCAGTGGATAAACAGTATAATCATCAAATTTTTGATTTGTTTTCTTTGCAATTTTTTCCACAATGATTTTTGTTAAAGTGTTTAAAAATTCAATCGAATTAACTTTGGCAAAACTTTTAAGCGCTTTCGGAAGAATGGTTCCTTCAAATCCAGAAGATTCCGATGTTTCAGAAATGAAATATATTAGTGTATCCATGTTGTTTATTAGCATAACCTATAAATTTAAAACAACTTTCGAAGAATTCATTTCAAAAAAAACAAATGAAAATTTATCAAAATACAATTTACCTTTTCTATAATTTTACTAGCTAATTCTTGTGGTAATTTTATATTTTTCAATGTGAGCATTTGTGCACAAATTTCAGCTGCAATACTTTGCACTTTCATTTCTAAAGTTAAACATTTTAAAATGATTGTTGTAAACTCTGACAAATGTGTTTCGACTAAATGACTTCCTCCTTTGCAATCAAGTCCTAATTTACTGATTTTAAGCATTGATTTCAAACCTGATAATTCATTATTTTCTATTTTATTTTTTAAACTTGCCTTAAAAAAAAAAAAAAACACAATAATAATGATAAGTACCTACAGTAATTTATAATAAATTCTTAAATATATGATCCAAATTTTAAAAACTTACAATTAAAACTTTGAATAAAATTGAATGCTGAACTGGAATACAATTCCCATAAGTAGTAACTATTTGACTTGTTAGTGAAATTAATATCCTTTGTGGTATGTCATTCATCCCGAAAGAATTGAGTAAAACTGTAAATAATTCTTCTGCACAACTGTGAGTTTGTCCTTTAATACCTTTCATCATTTCGAATAATAATTGACCACAACCTTCTGCAACCTGATATTTAAATCAGTTTCATTTTTAGTTTCAAAAAATTATCTTGAAAATTACTTTTTAAAAAATTATCATGATGATAATAATACCTTAAATACTTTAATTAAATTAAAAAAATAATAACAATGTCATACTCACATCAGGCGATGTTTGAACAACATACAAAACCAATGATAATAATTTATTTTTATCTTTGACTTTTCTAGCTACAAATGAAAAACTTTGTGCAGCAAAATCTCTTACATAATCCGGATTGTTTTCGCTAAGAAGCGGAGCAAGTTCCAACAATACTATATCTAAATTTTTTACCTGAATAATAACAAAAAAATCTTTATATTGTAATTTTAAAAAACAACTAACAATCATTCGCTTTGAAAATTGGATAAAAACTTACCATTTCTCTAAACAAATATTTAAATATATATGCTAAACATGTAAAAGTTGCTTCTAATATTTCAGGATTTTTAAATTTTAATAAATGTATTAATTCTTTTAAAATTTGTGGAAAATAAGGATAGAGTTCATGTCTTAAATCTTTTACTAATGCTACCATTAACCTAAAATGACAGAGGAATGATATCGATTAAAATTGACAGTTACATACCCATTTCTAACTTACATAATTTAACTCACTCTAAAACAGGCTGATAAGATAATTCATCTTGATGTCTTATATTTTTAATAAAAACATTTATAATTTTTTCTTTATTATTAAGTAGTTGGGGTAAAGTTTGAGTTTCGTATCCTATTTCACTTCTAAATTCTTTCCATTTGGCACTTAAATTTAAAACAACCCATTTTTTAATTGCCAAATGAAAATATGTGGAATTTTCCACTTCTTCTTCTTCTTCCTCATACCGATGAGGAACTCGATGAAATACATCAATGTTAACATTTGAAATCCTTTCGGAAAATGGTATAAACTAAAAAAATAAAATCAATTTATGGTTATCGTACTCACACACACACACACACACGTGGAATAATTTTCCATCCATTAATTCGTTATTAATAAAATGTTATTAAAAAAAAATTAACGAAATTAATAAAATACTCAACCTTAAACCTATTACCACTCTTCCTACTATTTTTATCCATTTTATAAGCTACAAAAAAAAAAAATTAATTATTAACTACATAGATTTATCAAATACATTGTTTAGACATGGCTAACTACTAAACAACGTGGAAGCAGAAAATAATTCAAATAATTTCGTTTTATGTATTTCAATTACAACAAATTTAACTTTAATAATTTTTTTTTTTTCTATTCTCGACGAAATAAGAAAATATTACATAAAAAGTTTACATTTCGAATCAATAACCATACTAAAATAATAATAATAATAAATTTAATACTAATTTACGAATAATATCTTAAAACTTATCATAGCATCAACCTACTTACTTAATCCTTCATCATCAATATTATTTTTTTTGTTTAAAATTTAATAAAGGATATTTAAAATTTTCTTTCCTTTTTACTAAAATAAATAAATACTACTTAGATATATATATAAATATATATATATATTGAAAGCGAAAAAAAAATCAATCAATCAATCAATCAATACATTGAAAAACATTCACTTTGGTTATAAAATACCTAATAATCAAGTAATTTAAAAAAAATTATTATTATTATTATCATCATCATAATCAAAATATTATTATTATTATTATTAAACCTAATCTTATTCAGAATAAAAAATTATCACAAGGAAAAAACATCATCATCATCATTTAATAATAAATTTATTAATATTATTATCATTATAAAAAATTTCCTTTTTTTTCATTTAAATGAGAAAAAGTGTTTAACAATTACAATTATGTAATGATAATAATAATAATAATAATAATAATAATAATTTAAAAAATACACGAATCGATACACATTTGTTTAAAAAAAAAAAAAAAAATTTTTAATATTGTTTAATTACATAGGAAGGCAAATCGCGGTAAAAATCATGTCGTACTCGATCCAAAAAAAAAAAAAAAAAAAAAATTACGTCATATATATTTTTTATACGGGTGAATTAAAATAATAATAATAATACAATGTGCTCCCTTTTTCCCCCACCGTAATACTGTACTCTTTTAAAAAAAAATAATTTCATTTACAAATCATATTATTTGGGGAAAAAAAAATCATCATTATTATAGATTTCTATATAAATCGATGACGTAACAGGCACACGAACACACTTATTATATATATATATTGAAAATTTTACGATTCATAATTAAAAATCCCTCTGCCCCCTCCCCCCGGAAACCCCCCCATCGTTTCTCTACCTTTTTTTATTCTTATCATCATCATCATCGTTATAATTATCGAATACGGTCATAAAAAAATAATTCATTTAATTATACAATATACATATATAAAATTAATATTCAAAAAAAAAAAAAAGAACCTTTACAATTATAATATTATTATATGCGATTTATTTAATAATAATAATAATAATAATAACTCAGCCGTAAACAAAAAAAAATAAGAAGAAAACTTATTATTACTATTATTATTCTATTCACGTGACAATAATAAATTTTTAATAAATATTTATTTATTTTAAAAACAAAAAAAAATCATTAAATATAAAATAATTAATAATAATAATAATAATAATAATTTATAATAAAATAAAAAAAATTTTACGGAAGACCCGATTCGAATATTTTGAAACACAAAAAAATAAAAACAAACGTCGCGTTTTTTCCCCCCCCCCCCTATTTCTTATCGATGATTGATTGATTATTTATACATTATCGTTTATCAATAATCAATAATAATCCGTTAAATAAATCATACCAAATCATAAAATTCCTTCGATTATTATAATCAAAAAAAAAAAAAAAAAAAACCGGAAAACGTGCATGAAAATTATTATTATTTGAGCTACCTTGATTTGAGACGACGACGACGGTTATTACGAAAATCAATAATAATAATAATAATAATAATAAAAGATAATTGTTTTTTTTTTTTTTTTTTTTTTACATAGAAAAATATACAAAAAAAAAAAAAAGGAAAATTTTTTTTTAAAAGAACCTGTACACGCGATTTCGTTTGCGAAAATGCTAAACCTAACAAGACCTGTACAATAATTACAACAATGTGCAAAGCTTATTTTTGCAAATTTTTTTCTTTCTCTCTCTCTCTCTCTCTTAATATTAATAATAATCACAACGATTATTATTATTATTATCGCTAGGAAATGTACGACCCAACACGCACCCACGCATGCACACACGCACGTTTTTTTAATTACGATTAATAAAAATTAAAAAAAGGCGCGCTCGCAAAAAACAATTCGAAAATTCAAAATGGCGGAAAACGTAAACAAAAATGTAAACAAAAAGCCGTTGACGACGACAGTAGCGACACACGTACGACATGATGTGACGTAATTTCCTTTTTATTTTTCGGTAAGTATATATCTCACCGAAGCGTGTGTTTGTTTGTTTGTTTGTTTGTTGCGTGTTTGCATGTTTGCGTTTGTTACGAATTCATCATCAAAAGTGACGAAATGAAAATATCCGACATTTTTTTTTTTTTTTTTTTTCAATCAAATTTCAAACTTCCGAATGATATTCGTATTTTCTTATCGGAGTCAATCGAAGACCTTTCGACAATACCTGAGCCTCTAAATCTTTATCTTCTTCTTGATACCTGAATTTAAAAACAAAAGAATTAATTAATTAATGCGAGTTCGCGTAAAGAAAAAAATAACGAACCGTGAAATGAAAAAAAAAAAAATTGTTTGCAAACCGTCGACATAAATTCAAAATTTTAATTCGCGTTTTTGTCGCGCGACAACATTTTTAATCCGAATAATAGTTTTTTTTTTTTTGTTTATTTACTTATTAGTATCATTAAAAATTTTTACGCGCCATTTTATTTTTAAATTCGTTCGTTATTGTTTCGACTTTAAACTTATTTCGATAACGAAAAAAAAAAAAAAAAAAAATTTCCCCGTTTTCTTATCAATTATCATCACGATTAATCAATCTTTGTCGTAACGAAAAGTCAAATCGGGGAAATTTGTCGACAAAAAATTATCGTGACGTCATTTCCCCCCCTTAGGATTCAATTATCAATTGTGTAATCCTTACCTTCTTACGTTTATTTTCCGTGTAAGAAAAACAAACAAACAGAATTTTCCGGCATGCAATTCATCAGAGGTTTTTAAATAATGATTCAAGCAGACGAAATTTTAACAGCGTGACTCATCAAAAGTAAATTAAATTTACTTTTTTTCTGGTTTTTCCAGTTTTTTTTTTTTTTTTTTTTAAAAAGAAAAATTTTTTTTAAATTAACATGCAGAATAGAAAATCAAAAGCGCATTTGATAGAATATTTCAAGAATTACTTTTTTTTTTAAAATAAAATTTGCTATAAGAAAGCCAAGGAAAAAGCAGCCGAAAAAATTACGGCGATTTGTGACGAATGAATGAATGAATGAATGAATGAATGAATGAATGAATGATTGATCGATGAATGAAAAGAGACGTGAAATTTATTTTTAAGTACAAAAAAAAAAAAAAAAAAATTTTTTTTAAAGTAAAGCAAGTGAGAGAAAAAATTTTTTTTTCCCCATTCATACTCCCTTCCCCTCCCCCTTCGAAAATGTCAAAGTTCAAAGTTCAACACAACTTTCAACAATGAAAATTTTAAAGGAATGGAAGTCATAAGAAAAGAAAAAAAAAATTAGAAAATAAAATTTCAAAAAAAAAAATAAAATAAATAAAAAAAAAAAAACATAAAATCAAACATTTTATGCAATACAATAAAAATTATTATTATTATTATTATTATTATCATCATCGTCAAATCAAAATATATAAAAAAAAAACAAAATGAAAAAGAAAAAAAAGTAAAATAAAACGTGCAACAAACAAAAAAAAATCAAGAAATAAAATAAAATAAAAAAAAGTCTAATTTGTTCTTTTTTTCCCCCCCTCAAATCGTCCGTCGTACACACAATCAAATCCTATAAACTTTTATTATTATTATTATTAATCATCGTCATCATTATCAAATAAATAAATAAATAATAATAATAATAAAACAATAAAATCAAACATGTTATCGTCATCGTCGTCACGATCGTCACTTATGAAATCATCAATTACCAATTTTGGTAAACAATTCTCTCCCCGTCACTTTTCCCTCCCGTTTTTTTTTCCTTTTTCATGTCCTCCTCATCGTCGTCGTCATTTTCCTACGGTTAAAAAGTTGCGGAAAAACAAAAAAAAAAAAAAAAAAAGGAAAATACTAAAAACCAAAACCCCGCCCCCCCCCAAAAAAAAAATTAAAATTAAAATTAAAGTTAAAACGTTTGTTAGTCACGAGGTATGAAAATTAAATTTAATATAAAAATGACGTCATAAAATAACGAACGACATTAATTTCAATGGCAAAATTATTTAATTACTTTTTAAATCACGATTTTTTTTTTTTTTAATAGAAAAAAATTCCATTCGACGCAGGTCATACCTATTAGTTAAAAAATTTCGTCCTGGAACATTGTAGGAGTGTCGTCAAGTCAAAAAGTCATAACAGAAAAGAAAGAAAAGAAAAGAAAAGTTTTAAATGTGAATGAATTTGATAGGCGTTAAAAACAAGGAACGTTAACACAAAACAAACAAACAAAATCAGGCAAAAAACCTTGAATGATTAAGCAGCAGAAGGAGTAAAAGCATTCGATTGCAAGAGCACAAACAAAAACGTTAATCAGGCAGGAAGTAAAAATACAAAACGAACCGTGAAATATGTTAGATGGAAAATGAATCATGAAAAAATGCGGAAAAATCGCGGGAGTGAAAATGCCGACGGAAAAACAATAATGTTGGAAAGCAAGCAGTAAAATAATAATATGAAAATCCCCGACAGGATTATAAGGTTGTCCGATTCGAACGCCGTCGGTATCATCGGTATCCATTTATTATTATTATTATTATTATTATTTGTTTCGTCATTTCCTACGGGTGATAATAAATTTTCGCACCTTTGTCTCTCCTGTTCCAGTAATGACGTCAACGCATCTCTTTTCTCTACCGTGTCCAACATTTCTCGTAGCAATGCTCCCTCGTGTAAAACTTCTTCGTGAGTTTTGTCACATTCTAAAAAAAAAAAGAACCATTTTTTTCGAACTGGAGAGTAAACAAAGGAAAAAAGGAAAGAATTTTCACGTGACGCATTACCATCTTTGGCTAAAACATCTCTGAGCTCCTGTTGAAGTCTCGCATGCCTATCCTCCAATTCCATTTCTTGTGCTCTCACCAAAAGCTCTTTCTCGTACCTTCTCAACTCGTTTCTTTCTCTCACCAATTCGAACCATTCTTGCAACAATTCTTCTTCCTCTTTGTTTTCCTCCGTCGTTTCCCCCCTCAAAGCTTTTTCCAAAGTCACCCCCCGTACTTCGAGCTCTTTTTGCTTTTCTTCGACTTCTTCCAATCTCCTTTGAATTTCTTGTGCGATTCTCAACCTGAAATCACGAATACTTACGATATAAAATCACCCGCGTTAATCATAATAATAATGATGATGATAATAATAATAATAATAATGATGCCTTTTGAGTTGAGCTTGACGAGCCATTCTTTTCGTCATTCTGGATGGTTTGGAACTCGTATCGACCGAAGCCGAAGAACCGTGTGTTGGAGTAGATGCGGAAAAAACATCATCGCATTCCGATCCGGCGCTTTCTTCTGTCGAACAATAATAATAATAATAATAATAATAATAATAAACGGGCCAACAATTTTTTTTAAAAAAATTTCAAATCGTCGTCGTTACGTACCCAAAACAAACGGTTGTGCTTTATAAAATCCCGATAAATTTGAATTCGGAGCAGAAGACGTGTCATTTTCATCGTAAGAATTAATTTCTTTCTTATCCTACAAACGATAAACAAACAAACAAATAATAATAATAATAATAATAATCATATCATTTTTTATCCTATCTTCTCGTTCGAATTTTTTATCATTATTTTGCATTCGAATTTCCACGGTTTCGTACAAAGTTTAAAAAAAAATTTAAAATCGATATAAATATAAATCGATAATAACGACATTTTCTCTCTCTCTCTCTCTCTTTTCATTAAACGTGATTTATTTAAAAAACAAACAAGCAAACAAACAAACAAACAAACAAACGTCGACTAATAATTTGTTTTCACTTAGCATGTGATTAGAATAAAATGAGGCGGCTTTATTAGTTTCACAACCGTCGAAATCGCTTTTTTTTTTTTTCGTTATTCGTGAAGGAAAATCATCGAACCTGATTAATTAACGTAATTACCTGAAACCTACGCAGTATTTTTTTTTTTTATCGTTAACGAACGAATGATTAACCTCCAACTGATAACATTTAAAAAAAAAAAAACCTTTAAAAACTGAAATTTCAAACCGTTAACAAAAAGAAAACGGAAATCCACAAAACAAATAAATAATTTGCAACCCCCCCCATCTCTCCTCCTCCCCCAGTAAAATCCTTAAGTTTAATAATGATTGATAAGGATATCATATGACGATGATAATAATAATGATGATGATATAAAATCCCACAGGAAATCACGAAGCGTTTTTGTTTTTTTTTTTTTTTAAATTAAATTAATTTTTATACGTCGTCGTGATTTAATTTCGTCAGTAACGTACGTACGTGCCAACATTCTCTACTCATCTCTTTCCCCCCCTCCGCTTCTTCCCTCTCCCTCTCCCCCTCTCCCCCACTCCCCATCATTATTTGTATTCATTACGGACCCCCAAATTAAAAAGAAAAAAAAAAAAAAAAAAAGAAAAGAAAAGAGAAAAAAACGCGCACAAGGTTATTTATACGATATTGCCAAAGGACAAAATTCTATCGTTCTTTCCCTGCTTCGTTGATTGGTTGTTTGTTCGGTTGTTTGATTGGTTGATCGTACGGATTCTAAGATTATAACAAACAACAACAACAATTTAAATATATATTCGTCATCGTTAAGAAAACGAAAGCTTGGCTGGCAACTCGTTTCGGTTTTAGTCACTTTTTAATCGTCGTCCTCGTCGTCGTCGTCGTCATCGTCGTTTTCATTTATTATTATTATTATTATTATTTTTATTTTCCGAGCGTGATAAGTGATATGAAAAAGTGCGATTTGCGTCGTAATAATAATAATAATAATATTTATTATTAATTTTTTAAAAAAAAAGTAAAATAATCACAAATTTCGCGATTCGAAAAGAAAAATTGGCACGGTCGAGACATTTTTTTTTTATTACCGCAAAGGATTTTCCCAATTATTTTTTCATCCTCGAATAATTTTCAAAAAAAAAAAAAAATAGTGACGTAATAACAATTAAAATAATAATAATAATAATGATAATGATAATGATAATAAAACTATTTTTTATTCGGTTGACCGACGGAAATAAAAATATAAAAAAATAAAAATTGTTTTTTTTGTTAATAATAAAATGGGTTGAACGCGACGTGAAAATTCCGTCGATTTTTCCATCACTTCCCGTCGGCAAAATGAAAAAATTTTCAAAACAAGAAATGATGATGACATTTCCGGTGACGTCAAAAATCAACATCGAAAAAAATAAGAAATTTTGTCTTCATCATCATGGTAAGTTCATTTTTTCTCTTAAAGACGTAAGAAAAATATAATTAAAACGAATTTAACGCATCGGAAATACAATAAATTATCATTATTATTATTAACGTATTTTTACAGGTTGAAAACAAAATCCGCGGAAAATCAAATAAAAGAAAAAGAAAAATTTTTTAATCATCGTAACGGTCAAGACGATTTAAGAAAAGATCATGGCCGCCGAGCGCAAAAAACTAATTGAAGAGAGTGTCAAGGCAATGAACGGAATCGAATCTTTTTTTTTTTGCTGTCGTCAAAGCAGAAGAAAAAAAAAAATTTTTTTTATTTTTTCCGGAGGGAATTTGTCACGTACTTACGGTACTTGTCACGTGATTGTGCACTCGAAACCGTATTCTAATTAATTTTTTTTTATTTTATAAAAAAACAAAAACGAATCCTTTCCCTCATTAATTATAAAAAATCTCAAAGGATCCCCCCTTCCCCCCACTCAATCTCCACCCGACGACTTGCCCCCCGAACGTTTATTATACAAAAAAAAAAAAAATTTTCATTCATTCATTCATTATTTCGCGCGACCTAAAAAAAAAAATCTCATGCAAATTAATTTGTAAAAACGAACGCGTTACCACCAGGTGCCTGAACTACCTGAATTACCTGAAATTTTTTTTTTTTTTTTAACCGTAACAATAAAACGCGCTCGCCCTACTTTTTACATTTTAACCAAAAATCTATTACGTAATTTATAAAAATAATAATAATAATTGATCGTTATCCTCCGTTTGCCTCAAAAACATACAAAAATTACGTAATCATTTTTCTCAAGAAGTGCGTGAGCGTGTGTGCGTGCGTGTGCGTACCTCCAACAACAACAACCGTTTTATTTCATTTTTACCGACGGCGACAAACAAACTACCAAACAAACAAACGAAAATTTAAAAATTAACGAGAACGTTTTGAGATGAATCTTTAAATTTTCGATGAGTTTATAAAACAAAAAAAACCCAGTCGTTTGTTTGTTTGTTTGTTTTTTTTTGTACGACAAACTTTTGTTAGCAGAAAAAGAAGAAGAAGAAGAAGAATAAAAAAATTTTTTTTTTTCGACAAATAATAATTATTATTATTATTACGCATCACGAATCCGAATAACAAAACTTACAAAAATTAAAAAGTAATAGCAAAGGAAAACGGAAACATCCAAGATCAGTAAACGTATAAACAAAGAAAGACAGAGAGAGAGAGAAAGAAAAGGGAGAGAGAAAGAGGGAGGAAAGAGAGAAAAGGGAGAAAGAGAGAGAGAGAGAGAAACGAGAGAAAGAGAGTAATACAGAGAGACAGAAAGAAGGAATAGGAAGAAACAGAAAGAAAAAAGAGAGAGAGAGAAAAGGGAGAAAGAGAGAGAGAGAAGAGAAAGAAAGAAAGAGAGAGAGAAGAAAAAGAAAGAAAGAGAGAGAGAGAGGATATTGAATTTTACATCCCGTTAAAAAAGAACAAAATGATAGGAAAATCACATGAACATGATAACCGTATATAAAAAAATTTTTATAAGTTCATTGAACTCTATTTAAAATTTAAAAGGCTTAACTTTGGACAACAACAACAACAACAAAAGCAATATATAATAATAATAGTACTTCTGCTAATAATAATAATAATAATAAATAAAATCGTAAAATTTAATTAAATTAAAATCCATTAGCGACCATTATTCACCGACCGTTAATTTTTTTTTAAACAAGATTTAAACCGTCGGTGAAATTTTATTATGAATAATCATTTTTTTCTTATCATTCGGAATAAGAATGATAAGATCGAAGAGGAGAAGGAGGAGGAAGGGGAGGACATCGAGGTAAGTGATACGAATAAAATAAGAAAGAGAAATCGCAAACGCACGTACGCACGCACGCACGCACACACGTGGATTTTATAATTTATCCACGCACGATTTGCGACCCATAAAATAATAATTTTAATGATTTCACTTGCTCCGGTTTTTAATAAAACAGCAGCTTCTCTCTCTCTGTCACCGCCCCCCAGTCCGTGCCCCCCTCGAGCCCCCCCCCGCCAACGTGATTTTGCATTTATTTTTTTTTAATCGAGTGACTTACGGTAATTAAATAATACGGACGACAATTACCGCAATTTCACTTCAATTTAGCTTTCACTTTTTTTTTTTTTGAAAATTACTTTTCCCGCGTTTTTTTTTAAAAATATTTTAATTAAAAAAACAAGTAATAAAAGTGGGAGAGAGAGAGAGAGAGGGAAACTATGTTTGTTTACAAAAAACTTATTTTTCCGTTAATGTTTTTCTTACGTAATAATTTGCCCGCCTTTTAAATAAAAAAAATTAATACTAAACAAACAACGAACAATTATGGACAAAAAAAAAAAACAAACAAACCCTGTTTGTTTTGCACAATAACGTATTTCTCCCTTCCTCCCTCCCCTCCCCACCCCTCGTTAACCGTATGTCCTTCCCCCGCCCCCGACGCCGCCTCCTCTTTTCCACGTCACGTCACGTCACGATTCATTCATTAATTACATATCTTATTTAAATTCATTATTCATAAGTTATTTAATGTCCTTTTTTCTTTTTCTTTTGCGAAATCGACTCGTTGCCTTTTATATTATTATTATTATTATTATTAATCACCTTCGAGCAACAAACAATGTCCTTTTAATTTTTCTTCCAAGGTCTTCCCCGCGAATAATTTTTTTTTATATTTTCCATATTCTCATTTCCACCCCCCCCCCCGGTGAGATCACCCGAAATCTGAAGAGAGTAAACGAAAAAAAAAATCCCCCCCCCTCATTTCCATTTTGTTTTTTTCATTACCCACCTCATTATTATTATTATTTTCTCACAGATAGAGAAAGAGAGAGAGAATAACAAAATTACATTTTCAAAATTTTTCTGCCATTTCATTTATTATTATTACAACATAGCCAACATATTTAACGAACGCGCACGCGCACACACGCACAACTACAACGTTTTATAATAAATAAAAAATAGTAATAATAATAATAACAGTAACAAACTCTTTTATTATTTAAATAAATTTCCTCTAATGAAAAAAAATAAATAAAAAAAAAAAAAATCAATTCATTATTATTATTATTCAATTTCATTGTTTCCATTATTTTTCCTTCTTCTTACATTACACAACAAATCATCAACTACATAAATAAAATAATTTTTATTTTGTTTTACATAGCGTTGCAATGTAAAACAAAAAATTACGCGATAAAATGCCTTGACCGTAATTACAAACCGAATAATTTTCCACGGAGAAAAAAAGAGAAAATAGTGTCGTAAGCAAAGTAAGTAAATATTTATTATTTGCATATGCAAGAAAAGGATAACAGAGACCGGAAGAGATTAAATTGGGAAAATTTAAAGCGCCGAATAGGGATTAGCGCGGATTAAGGCGCTTGAAGAGAGAGAGAGAGAGAAAAACTTCTGGAACTTTCTTTTCGGCGCTCGAAATATTTTCCCCCCCATTATTTTAAACAAAATAGACGAAAAAGAAAAGAAGTAATAATAATAATAATAATAATAATAATAATAAAATCTACCGGGTATTTACCTTAGGTTTAGCGGCGAGTTTAAATTTTGTCGAAAATTTATCGGCAGTTTTGGGAGGCGAAGGCGATTTCGACGGCGACGGTGATTTTTTATGAAAAAAATCCGAAACGGCTTGTATTATGCTTTTCCGCCTTTCCCGATCCCTCGAACGTTTTTTATCCGCCGTTTCAGTCTGGAAAAACAAAAAAAAAAAAAAAATGCATTACTCGAATTTTCCGGAAAATAGGAGCGTGAGAATTAACGGGTGACGTCATTTACCTTCGTTCCGGATGAATTGCTCGTGCTCGGACTGCTCGGGGATTTCAACATGGGATCATCATCTTTTAAACTCGTCGTTGCTAAATCCGAAGTGGATTTCTGTCCGGATTTTAATCCCAAACTCGGTTTGTCGAGTCCACGAAGTTTTTCGAATACTTTCGACGTCGAACTCGATTTCGAAAGAAACGAATCGTTTTTCTTCAAACTACTATTCGATTTTTTCACACCGCTCTCTTTTCCTTTGACCTCTGACCTCTTGGGAGTTTCGAAAAGATTTTTCTCGGATTTCGTCATCGGCGATTCCAACAACTTGCTCACTTTTTCCCGTATCGATTTCATTTTTTCTTCCGGACTCAAACCCAAATCCTCGTTCGACATGAGTCTTACTCTCGCTCTCGCATCCTCTCGAAGTTTATCCACGTTTCCTCCCTCTTTCGTCATTTTTTTCTCTCTCGGAGGAATCGTCGGGGTTTTAAAAGAAAAATTTGAATCCATAGACATAATGAAAGCTTCCGGATTGGTCAGGGGAGTGTCGGGAAGGTTAGAGTATTTGGTTCCGGGTCGGAAAGACGTCGGAGGAGTATGAAAAGTTTGATTATCGGACGTGTCGCATACAAAAGGCACTTCTGAATAATTATTCGATTCCTTTTCCGGTTTCGAATCTTCGATTTTGAAATCTCCGTTCGGTATGATAGGAGGTCCGGAGAGTCTGGATCCGGTCCTCGTAATCTTTCTATTTTTCCTTTCCGCGGGTAATTTTTTACCCGGACCGATTTTTTTCAAAACCATTTCGTGAACTAAATCCTTTTGCAAAATCCTTTCGCGAGATATCTCTTGAAGTTTTTTACTCGTCGTATTTATCAAATTGGGATTTTCCGCAGAGTCCTCTCCGACTTTTTCTCTACCACCCTCCAATTTATCCACCTTTTCTTCGTCCACTTCCGGTATCTTGTATTTATTTTCGGCGCCATCCATTTTGACAACTTTTTGTTTCGACTTTCTATAATCGATGGAGTCTCGAACGTTATGAAAAGGCGAAATCCGACCTTGAAGATTTCGAATGTATTCTTCGTATTCTTGATTTCCCTCGATGAGTTCGCTTCTTGGTCGCGTTATGCCATTTTCGATTTTGGGTCCCGTCGGAGTGATGGGTGACATGTCGAGCAAAGGAGAATAGAATGACTTTTCATTCACGTTAAAACTTTTACTCGGAGTCGTTGGACAATTTTTAATTGTTGTTTGTTCGCTCGTTGTCGATTCCTCCGTCGTCAAATCTTCTTTGACTTCGGCGCTGTTGAGGGGTAACGGTCGATATTTTTGTTCGTTGGAAGAAGTATTCGAATTACTTTTCGAAGTGGATGAACTTGAATTCGATTGATCGGGTGATTTGTTAGACGGTAATAGGGTATTTTGTATTTCGACAACCGGCGTTGCCAATTCGTCTTCGTTGACAAAACGAAAATATCCGCGACTTTGAAGGAGAGCGTTATTCGTTGCCGATATCGAATCCATTTCGCTCACGTCCGTATCCATAAAATCTAAATTTTCATTGCTTGCCAATAGTCGAGGTGCTTCCGTTTTACCACAAACGTGTGTGTAACCTTTATTTGGTAAATCGAGGCTTTTGGGTTTTTTCGTTTCTTTCGGCTTGTGATTGGCAACGCTCACTTCTATGTTCATTTTATTTTCAATATCATCCAAATCTTCGGATACACAATTGTCCCCGTCTCTTGCCCAATCCGATAGCTCGGTTTCGGTGAGAAGGGCGAAAGTATTACACGATTCGTCAACTGATCCAGGGGAAGAAGGACAACTTCCGGTTCCTTTAGCTCCACTCTCCATTGGCTTATCTTTGGAGAGAGACAAAGAAAGCGAGTTCTTACGAACTTTATCTGAATTTTTTTGCTGTCCTTCCACCAGTGGCCCCTGTTTTTTTTTTTCGTCCAACAACGAGGTGACGACGACGGGTTTTTCTTCCGGAATCGATTTCGGATCATCGTCATCTTTTTTCCTCATAGAATTTTTAAGTTCGTCTATTTTACTCCTGGCTAATTCGATCTGCTTCGTTATTGACATGGGAACTTCTTCTTCGCATCCCTGCAAAGAATCCGGTTCGAAACCTTCTTCGTCCATGAGTTCACCCTTTGAATTATGAATTTCCAATCGTGGCGGTTGATGTTTCAGTCTTTCTTTTTTCGGCTCGTTTTCCGAACTGCTCGTTTCCGTTTCCGACTCGGATTCCGACAAGGACACGCTTAAATTTTCCGATGAATTTTGAACTTTCCAAGGGATTTGCGGCACGAGAATCGACGTTTCGTAAACGGGACTCCTCGGCCGACAATCGGGAGTTTCGAAAGATTTATCATCGATTCTCTGCAATTGATGAACCCCTTCATTTTCCTTATTTTCTTCTATAATAGAATTTTTATTTTGAATGTCCTCTTGCTTCCGAATGGCTGCCATATTTTTTTCCCGTACGTTCTCATTCAAAACATTCATTTTCGACCTTTGATCATTTTGACCATTTTGATTCAATTTCCCACACACGTGAATGAAGTCTTTTTCCCCTAGGGGCAATTCTTTTTGCTTTCTTAAAATCATGCTCGTAGGCGGGAGATTGAGAGGAGGCGTGATTATCGTCGGCGACGTCGGAGGAATTTTCTTTTGCGAAGTTTGCAAAAACGCTTGCATTGTGGGACTGATTTCGTTGCCCGGATTCAACAATTTCTGACACTCGGATATGTTCGAAGCGAAATTTTTTAGCTTGGAATCGAGAACAGTGGCGGATCCAGATTTCGATATGGGATTCAAAGCTCCCGCATTTCCCAACAAATATTTCTTTCTCAATTCGAGTGATATTTTCGTCGCGATCCCTTCCGTCGATTGAGTTTTGCTCAACATGTAATCTCCCTTGCGAGGATTGAAAAGGGGAGCAGGTTTGGACAGAGCGGAATTTATCGTGTTTTTAGACAAAACGCTCGCGGATTTCGATTCGACCAGGGGTAGAAATTCCAATTTGACTCCTTTCCCCGAGTCGTGACGATTCGTTTTGGGTATGTTTCCGGATTTCACTTGAACTTTTTTAACGTCTTCGCACGCCCTGTTTCTCCTCAAGTGATCCGTTATCAATATGTCGGGTATTTCGTGACGCGTTTGAGTCGTACCATCGTGTTCGAATTCCGAATCCGTTGATATTTCCGTTGCTGAATTGTCCATTTCTTCCGACGATGCATCCGATGTCGAAGCATCATCCGACGCAACCTAAAAAAAAATTGCAAAAAACAAATTTAACGAAAAACGATCGTTGGAAAAAGAGTTTTCATCTTAATTTAAACAAAAAAAAAAAAAAAAAAAAAAAATTAGTTTAAAACAAGAAAAAAATAAATAATAATAATAATAATGATAATAAAATAAATTCGAACTGCAGTAGTTATCTTCATTGATTATTAACTAGAGAAAAATTTTAATTTTTGTATTTAAAAAACAACAACAGCAACAGCAACGCAGTAAAAATGTAATATAAAAAACAAAAAAAGTTAATCAAAATTAAAAGTATAAAATTTATTAATTATTGAAAATTAAAATAAGAAGACAAAAAAGAAAACCAACAACAACAGCAACCAAACGACAGAAAAGATCCGCCGGCTTTTTTTTTTTTTTTTCAACACAACAAAAAAATTAATTCGAAAGCTTTTTTAATGAACCGCAGTTCATTCTGCTCTTTAAAAAAAAAAAAAAAAATAGAAAAATTCAAAAGGAAAATTAATAAATTTTCCAAAAAAAAAAAAACAATAAATTTCCCTTTTGAACATTTTTTCATTTATTAAAAACTTTTAATTTCTTTCCCTCCTCTCTCCCTCCCTCCCTCCCACAAATTCCCTCGTTTAAATTCGTGTTAATTAAAAATCATATATTTATATGTATAAAAAAAAATAAAAACATGCGAAAAAGCAGAAGAAAATTTTTTTAGAAAAATAAAAAATAAAATAAAAAGATAAAAAAATAAAAACAAAACACAAAAAAAAGAAAAGAAAATCCATTTGATTCGCTAATATTTACCTTATGAAAGTAAAAAATAAATTTAAACAAAACTATCACAAACTAAAAAAAAAAAAATTTTTTTTTTAACTTTTCACTCAAAGGAAATAAAAAAAAAAAAAAACTTGGATTAAAAATCAAAAATTATCTTCTGCTAAACACTTCAAATACAATTTACTCTAAAACAACCCTTTCGCCCCCTCCCTCCCTTTTTAAAATTCTAAAAGAGTTTTGAAAAAAAAAAAAAGAAAACACGAACGAGAAAGTAAAATTTTTTCTTTTTTCGCACGAACGAAAGAAATAAAATTAATCCAAGTTCGTCACGTGTGACGTCATTAAAAATTTAAATTTAAATTTAATTTTTTCCACAATTAGGGCGTAATAAATTAAATTCATTATCCGAACGTAAAAAAAAAAAAAAAAAAATTTTTTTTAAACCGGCGGATCTTCAAACCGAAAAAAAAAAAAAAAAAAAAAACAATTAAAAACCCTTCGTGACTTGTTGAAATAAACAAATTAATTTTAATCAACAATTATTTATATATAAATTTTCATATAAAAGAAAAAATAATAATAATAATAATAATAATAACAACAACAATAAAAATAATAATAATAAAAAAAAACCAATCAACATCACTGCAAAACAAAAAAATCTAAAAACGAGGGGGGGGGAGACGAAAAAAAAGGAGCTAAAACGTTTAAACAATAAAATAAATAAATAAACAAAAAAAATCAATAAATCAATAAATCAATAAATAAATATTCGTAAACGATCGATAAAAAAAATAAAAATAAAAAAATTATGGACTAGATAAAATCTTTGGATTTTGACTCGAAAACTAGACTAATTTAAAAATTATCATCATCATCATCATACTCATAAATTTAACAAAAAAAAAAAATGGTAAAAAATAGACTAGAATACGTGTCACGTGTCGCCAAAATCAAAAAAAATGCAAGATGGCCGTCGTCGTCGGCAACGTGTCAAATCGATCACGACACCAAACATTTATCGTCGTCGTATTTAGGCGACCTCGGAGATGATTTCGATATCGATCTCGAATCGCGATAATGAGAAAATGTCGGAGTCGTCACCATCAACGGAGACGTGACGCTCGAACGTCTCACATCCGTTTCCTTCCCACCCGAAGAATTCCTTCTCGCGTTCCATCTCGCTCTATCGAGATTCGTTCGATTGATCGAAGAATGGGAAGTGATGGGTTTCGTATCGTATTTCGACGGATTGTAATAATAATGATGATTTTTACTCGTCGTTTCCGGCGTGACGTGACCATTGTTTAAAAGACTGCGATCGATTTCCCGTTTTTCGGGCGACGAATAATTGTCGTACACGCCGGATCCGTCGCTCACGGGAGTTTCCATGATGTTCAGACTCAAATTATCCTTTTTCCTCCTCGGTCTGACGGGTGGAGAAGAAGGAGGAGTAGGAGTGACGAAGACGTTCTCGTAAGAATGACAAATATTTTCATCCTTCGTTTGTATTTTACGAGAAGGTTCGGGTGACGGTGTAGGACCGTCGTTGATTTCCGGTGAAGTTTTCCCATCTTCAGCATTTCCGTTCGATTTGTTTTTCCCTCTTTCGTCATCTTTTTCCTCGACATCGTTTATTAAACCTGACAAAGTCTCGCTACCACCACCCTCGGCTTCGACTTCTTTCAAAAGGTTTTCGAAATGTTTTTCCATTTCTTCGACGCTGTTGCTTTCACCTTTCCCGACACCCTCGCCTTTCGATTTATCATTGCCGTCATCATCGAACAAATTCAATATTTCTTCCACGTCTTTTTCCGTGACTTCACCCCCACCCTTCGATTCCAATTCTTTTTCCAAATTTAAATTATCGAAAAATTCTTCAATGTCCGAATCGATGGTCGTTACATTTTCAACATCGATTTTAATGTTTTCCGCCGGCAATGCTATCCTGTTCCTTTGGGTGACTTCGTTGAATTTTTCCGCCAACTTTTCCATTTCCTCTTCTTTCAATGTTAAATTTTTAAAAAATTCTTCCACGTCGGATTCGGAATTTTCACACAGAGCCCGAAACGAAGAGTACCTGTCGTCATCGTGATCGTTCAAATCGCCATTTTGAGAAAAATTTCTCACGACCGGAGAATGCGGAGGAGGCGAGGGTGAAAATCTTTTGACGACTAAAAAATTAAATTTTCCCTTGTCGGAAAAATCATTCGAATTGATTTTCGTTTGAAATTCCAATGTTTTCGGATCGAGAGAATTTGTTTTCTTCAATGATTCTCTTCTCATGACTAAATTTTTATCTATGTATTTTTCATCATCAACATCAACGTTTTCCCTCCGCCATTTTTGATTTCCGTTCATGTCTTTACGTAATAACATTTCCAAATTCGACGATTTCCTCTCACCTCTCGTTCTCGCACCGAACATGTTTAATTTTTCTTCGAAAGGTGCGCTGCTTTTAAAATCCGTCACGCTATCCGTCACAACGGATTTACTTTTAATCAACGGATTTCTACCGTCGCGAAAATGACGACCTTCGGCAAACGTGACGCTCCTTTGCAAAGATTTTTGACTTTTAATATTTTTCAAATCCTCGCCGTTTTCCGTCGTTACACCGTCTTTACCTATACGAACACTCGAACCCGAGGGACAATTTTTAACATTTTTCTTTTCGGGAATGGGAGGATTGAATGATGATGATGATGATGATTGAAAATTTCGTACCTCAGTATCCGAACCCGTATCCGTATCCTGTCGGTGGTGATGCCTTTGAGGTTGTAGTCTCACTTCTTGTTTTCTCAATTCCAACGCTTTTAAATCTTCTTCGTCACCTTCGGTTGCCGTCTCGCTCTCGTCATCTAAAAAAAAAAAAAAATTTTTTTCTCTCTCGTTATTATTATCATCAATAAAGACAAAAAATAAATAAATAAATAAATCACGTGACAAAACAACAAACAAAAACAAAAAAATGACAACATTTATGTTATTATGTAAATGTAATTCCCTCAAATATATATATATAAATTAAAATGAACTCGATGATAATAATAATAATAATAATAGTAATAAAAGCTGAAAGGTGCCAAATGATATAATTCGGTCGCAATGAATATTATTATTAATATATACATAAAAGCACACATAACGTACACATTTAATACTTTTTTTCTTTTTGGAATATTCAAAAAAAAAAATAAATAAATAAATAAATAAAAATAAAATTTACTTACAATGTAACTAACAAACGAACAAAACAAACGAACGAACGAACAAACAAACAAACAAATTATTTTAACCATATTATCATTATTAATCGTATAATTTCAAGATAATACACCTTTGGTAGTGTATTATGTACATTATTTTTTTTTTGACTTGCTATTATCAAAAATTTTACTTTTTGTTTCTTGTACATTCTTACCATTTAATTATTAATTAATTCTTATCAATCAATTAAAATAATAATAATAATAATAATAAATAACGTACCACCGAAAAATTAATAAAAAATAATAAATAATAAAATAAAAAACAAAATTAATATAAAAATAAATAAACATATAAATATATTAATAGCAAAGTCAATTTGAAAAATAAAAATTTAAATACAATTCCATTATTATTATTATTTTTTAACAGTCATAAAGAGTAAAAAAAAAAAAAAAAATTTAAAGCAAAGATTTAAAAAAAAAAAAAAATAACTAAAAGTTAATAAATAAAAAAAAATAAAAAAAAGTTCAGCATCAACGCCTATTTTAATAAAAACATTTAAAAATATTTTTTTTTAAAAATTGATTGTTTACTACTATTCATAAAATTTCAATAACTACTACTACTACTATTACTACTACTACTACTACTACTACTACTACTACTACTACTACTACTACTACTACTACTACTCCTACTATTATTATTATTATTAATTCTTTTTTAAATCGTTGCTTTTGACATTTTATTATTATTATTTTTTTTTACGTTGAGCAAAATATTTAATTAAAATTTTATTATTATTATCACGCACGCGTCGTTATCACATTTATTTAAAAAACAATTTTAACCTATATTAAATAAACGTTACGTAACGTCGAAACACCAATAACAATAACAATAATAATAATAATAATAATAATAATAATAATAATAATAATAATAATAATAATAATAATAATAATAATAATAATAATAATAATAATAATAATGTAACTAAATAATAATAAGGAATCATTGATTTAATAGAGAAAAAAAAAATTACTTATAATTTCATTTTAAATGAATAAATAAATTAATATTACACACAAAAAAGTATTACTATTATTATTATTACTATTATTATTATTATTGTTTTAAATAAAAAAAAAAAAAAAAATCACAATTCGTCATAATATATAAGAATGATGATGTTTTGTTCGTGGCGGTATCACAAATAAAATTTTTTTAAAAAAATTATTCGTCAAAGTGATTAAAAATTATTTAAAAAAAAAAAAAAAAAAAACCCGCTAAAATATAAATCGATATCGATCGATCGATCGATCGATATATCGTTTCGTTTCTGACTGAAAAACCGTCACGTTATTCAATTCCATTGAGCAATTACTTAAAAATTCACATTCAAATGAATTTACAATGAATTGAGAAAAATGCGAGACGAAGGGGGAGGGAGAAGACGTCGGAAGGAGGGAGGGAGGAGCCGTCGGGAAAATTTTCTTTCCCCGCCCCCTCCCCCGGTTCACCGTAGCCCCTCCTCCTCCTCCTCCTCCTAGTCATTTTTTTCTCGTCCCGTAATCAATGACTAGATAACATTTGTCAATTTGAGCAAATAATTATTCAGAAAAAAAAAAAAAAAAATTTTGTGAATAAATTTCAGTCAGAAGCGAAATTTTTAAATTTTTTAAATTTCCCGCGCAAACGCGGATCATCCGGATCTACATCATCAACCGGCACTTCCAGCTTTTAAAAAATCAAAAATAATCGTTACGAATTTGTATGCGTAAATGAATAAATAAAATAAAAAATAATAAATTTTCGATAGTATTATCATCGTGGGTTCAAAACCGAAAACCAAAAAGGAATTTACTGGAATTTAGAAGAGCTAAATCAAATAAGTATCTACCTTCAGAGTATTCGTCGAAATCGTCGGAATCGTCTGCTTCGCATGAATCGTGACCGTTTTCATCCGAATCGTGAAGGCTGTGAACGAAACAAAACAAAACAAATTCCAATTAACGAAAAATTAATAATAACGTTAAAATTTATGACGTCACTTCCTCTCTCACCTTCCGGATTTCAACGAATGCCTTCTCGACCACCTTTCGGCGGCTTTTCTCGTTTCGTCTGCCGTCATGAGCGCTTCTTCTTCCAAAAGATCTTCCTGATCGTCGTCGTCATCTTCTTCGGAATCCGTTGCGTCCAGGACATCGTCGCTGGAAAATTCCGCTGCGGAAGCACCGAAATTTCGATCAGTCCATTCGTCCTCATCCATTTCGCTCGGCCCTTCATCTACGTCGCTCGCATTTTCCGCCAAATTTTCAAATTCGATTCTTTCGGGTGTTCCTCCGCGATCCGTCGCATCCGCCGCCGGGGGAGTTTGTAAAAGTTTATTAACTATAACTCCCGGCGGTGACGTTTGCTGGAAAAAAAATTCCAATTTTCATTCCATTTCCCATTCGATGACTCCCCCCACCCCCCTACTATTTCCCATCACTTACCTTTTCCGGACTTTTCATCTTCTGCTTGGCCAACGACAACCTGTGTGCTCTCTCTTGATTTTTCGTAAGTTTTTGTTTCATCGTTCCCGAATAACCGAAATGTTGATTGCAAAAAAATCTATTTCCGTATTTTCCTTCTCGATCGAATAAATAATTTCCTAAAAAAAAAAAAAAAAAAAAAAAAAAAAAACAAATCATTCGTTGATTATCCATTATGACAAACTGTAAAAATTTCAAAACTTTTAGTATACCATGTTCCAACACGTTAGTAAAGTGACAAATCATTATTATCATCGACAAAAAAATCAAACGGAAATGGTTAATTGAAAATTGGGAAATGTAACAACACGCGACGCGAGATCCTTCCTTACTGGATATAAAAGTTTCATTTCTAATTCTTTGACTCTGTTATGAAACTCCGGAGCCGTTTGCCTGTACACGTACAAAGAATAATCTTCGAATTCTTTATCTTCTTCGTCTTCCGGTACCCATTGATTACACTCCATCATGGCTAAACTTTTTTTAAATTGTTCCGTTTGCATTCGACGAAGAAATCTTCGACGCTCTTGTCGATCTCGTCTATTCTGTTCGATTTCTTCTAATCTCTTTTGCCTTTCTTCCTGATGTGCATTTTAACGGTTTTTTTTTTAAAAATTATAATTTACTACTATTCATCACGTGACTACTGATTTCCCCCCCCTCCCCTTATTATCAAGAGGCTAAGAAAAAAAAAAAGAAAAGAAAAAATTTTTTGGTTTCTTACGTCGTTAAAAGGCAATTTATCTCCTCCGCTTCTTCTCTTTCTGCTTCGCCGTAGAGAAGCATCCCCTCTTCCGACGTTTTCACCCGAGTGCCTTTTTCTCCCCGTCGAATTCCTCGGCAATTTCGTTTTCAATTGATTCGCAATGGCGTAATCATCTTCCGTTTCTTCCGAATCCGGAACTCGTTTGTCGTGAGCAACGTGAGGGATTTCTCCTCTGAACGAATCGTAGACTTGCGACAGGTACGAGAGCATGGTTAGTCTGTCGGGACATTCGCACTCTGCCATTTCTTCACCCGTCATGACCTTGAAAAAACAAAAACATTTTTCGTGTAACGCGTTATGACGTCATCAAATTTTTTCGAAATCGTAAAATTTTCAACTTTACCGGAGGTATGCCTAATTCTTTTTCTAATATATCGAAAGCTCTTTGGTTGTTTGCAGCCGTTTCTTCGACCCGTAACGTACTATAATCTAACAAATCGGGCCTGTACCGACTGATGATTGCACAAAGAATCAAACCATCTTTGAAAGAATACGTCATGTTTTCCACGTGTAACTCTGGGTGCATACAAACTTGTCGTTTTATCCACAACAACAGAGTATCGGGATGAACTTGAGAGTCTGAAATTGGGGGGAAAAAAATTAAAAAAATGTCTCATAAAAAGGATCGCGTCCCGTCCCGTCCCGTTCCATCCCGTTCCGCCACCAACCTTTTTTTCTTTTTTTCTTTGGCACTTCTTGTGTTGTTGTCGGAGCTATTGCTAATTCCATGCTAGCCGGATCATCCGTTTCGAATAAATTTCTAACTTGAAGAGGAAGAACGGACCTGAAATGACAATTTAAAAAAAAAAACAGAGAGTGACGTCACATCATTATTTAATGTACTGATTTTAAAGGGGGAAAAAAACAACCCCGAACCGATCACTCACCTACTATTTAAATTAGGGTACCTAGTGTGGGGATCGAGCGTGTAAGTTAGTGGATCTTTTTGCAAATTTTCCGGAGTCGTTTGTCCGAGTAATCTGTAAATCGATTCTCTTTCCGCTAAAACTTCCAACGGATTTATGGCTCCGTTCACAGCCCAATTTTTTATAACCCAACAAGCATCCATGCAAGATAAAAATCCTCTCGCGCATCCGGACCCGGTAGGCCAAAAAGGCTAAACAAAAAAAAAAAAAAATTATTATTTTTTATTTTAAAACCACGTGGTCAACGACGTTCGCGACGTTCGTCTGAACACATTCCTGACATTCACGTACCTCTAATAAACTATCGCCAACCAATAACTGAAGCAATTTATGCCCGTTTTTTTCAATTATTCTCGATGCGTTTTCGGCTGCGTACATGGACGTGAAATCGAACATGGCGACATCGGGTTGACCGTGATGATTCACGGCAAAATCCAAATCCGGCAACAAATAATTCGTAGAAAAATCTGCGGCTTCTTTGGCATATTTCAACAATGCTTCTTTATCAACATTGGCAGGATCCAACAATCTGGCAGTATCCGTATAATCCTGTAAAACAACAAACAATAAATTTTTTTGTATGCAGGTCGCGCATACCCCCGAAATACCAACATTACAAAAAAAAAAAAAAACGAACCTGTAAAATGACTCCCTTATCGATTAAACTATGCTTTTTGGCAGTCATGACAAAATAATGAGTGTCATCTTTGTAATAAACAATATTTTCCAAATCTATTCCAGTATCCGAATATAAATCTTTAAAAAATTTCTGATTGAAAATAAAAGCGACCCCTGGAACAAACAAACAAACAAACAAACGAAAAACAATAAATTTCATTCTTCGAAATTAAAATTCCCCCCCCCAACCCCTCCCTCCCCTCCTATTTTATTGGAGTGTCACACGTATTATCTTAGTTAAATATTTCTCAACCGGAAGTCAGATACGTGCCGGTTAAACAACTTTTAAAAAATAAAATAAAATAAAATAATGCATTGTGTGTAAAACACCGTAAAAATAAATTTTAAAAACAAAAAAAAAAAAAAAAAAAAAAAAAATGAAAATGAATGAACGCCGACCGACGTGCCCAACTTGGAAAAATAATAATAATAATAATAAATTTATCTTGCGTTTAAATGAAATTTTTGTCGCGCTCAACTTGATAAAAAAACAAAAACAAACAAACAAACAGAGACACACACCTGATATTTCCTGGACTCTGGCCTCGGCTTCGGTTCTTCTATTGATAAAATTGGCAGTGATGGCTATTGCCAGTTTTCCACGAAATTCTTTCCTTTTAAATCCTTCCAATGTGTTCCTTTTTCCATCGGCTCCGATGAGAACGTCGAATTCGTATTGCGACACGGGATGATCCGATGGGGTAACTAACGCTTTCCATCCCGTTTCTGTTAATAAAAAAGGAAAAAAAATAAGAATCAGAGAGAAAGAGAGAGAGAGAGAGAGAGAAACTCGCGGTCGATGATTCTCTTCTACCAAATATATATAAAAACATTCCATAAATGGCGGCGCGCATTTAAATATCATGAATACCATTTTGCCTTTTTTTTTAAAACTTTAACGATTTCAGGTACAGTCAATAATACAAATACACACAAATAAATAACCGTCAAAATTTTGTTTTCAAGGTAAGGCTTCTTCATCATTTTGGACAACACAAACCTTGGCCTCTTCCTGTCTGTTCCTTGCCTCATTTATATATATAAATTGCGTTTTAACTAGAATGAAGGAGAGAGAGAGAGAGAGAGAGAGAGAGAGAGAGAGAGAGAGAGAGAGAGAGAGAGAGAGAGAGAGAGAAAGAAGAAAAAAAAAATAGAATTTCACGTTAATCGATCGCAACGATCGATCAATCAATCATTTATAATGTTTTGTTTTCGTTTCGTAAATTTTTCTGAAAAATTTACCGCATGCTTGATTTTTCTCTGATCGATTGATCGATCGATCGATCGATCGTTCGATTAGTCGAAAGGAATAAATATATGCATCCACGTTAAAAACCTCGTCGTCGACGAAGGAGTCGGATAAAAAAAAATTTTGTCTCCCTATGTGTCTCTTTAAAATCTCATCCCCCCTGCGACTCCCGTATTATCGCGAATAAATTTTATTTCCCCTCCCCTCCCTTCCTTGAAATTAATCAAATGGAAACTCTAAAATACTTACTTTCCGTATCTTGATTTGCTGGAGGAGGAATCAAAGAATCAAAAGCGACGCCCTCGTGAATTTCAACTCCGAGAATCAAAGCAACTTTGAGCAAAATAAATTGCAATTGCCTAATACCTACAAACAAACAAGCAAACAAACAAACAATAAATATACAAATTTTATTATTTTTATTATTTCAATCGAATCTAATATTTTTGCTTATTATGACTATTTTTTTTTCCCGCCCCTCTCGCCCGCTCGCTCGCCCGCTCGCACCCACGTGCTCTCAACCCTCCCACGTGTCACAATCATTTTTTCGTTCGCAGGTGGATTTTTAAAACTCACTGATGTGATCGATGGCTCCCGCGCAAAATTTGCCAAAAAATTTCTTGGCACCCAATCCTCTGAGATCTTGTATAACGAATGGCCACAAATGAAGGACGTTGTTACGCGTTATTCGATCTCTTTTCTCGAGGACCACAACTCTGGCACCCAACAATTGAGCTTCTATGGCCGCTCTTAATCCGCACGGTCCGGCACCGATGATAAGTACCTGAACAAAAAAAATAACAAAAAGTCAAATTTTTTTTTTTTTTCTAATTTGCTATTACGGAAATTACAAGGTCAACGATAATAAAATCTCGTTTTCTTATCTCTTGGGAGGAGGAGGGGGGGGGCATATTCGAGACCCCAACGGGTGAAAGGTTAATTCGCTCTACAACAAAAGGGTCAAATATGTTTCAAAAAAAAAAAATTATCTAGCAAAGATATTTAATTTATTGTCTGTCCTTGACATACGCCCCAATTTTTTTTTTGGATAGAAACATCAAATCAAATCGTTTTCCCCCCTCCTTGAATCACGTGACACTCACCTTATTTTGAGAGCAAGCTTTCCCTCTGTTGTAACATTTGTGACTAGCTCGTTTGTCGAACTTGTTCCAAAGAGCCTGAGCCTTCCAGCTCCCTAATTTCGCTTTTAACTTTGGATAAAACTGCAGAAAATTCGTCGGCTTGATTTTAAGGATATCACAGAGGTGTCGATGATGATATAAAATGGATTTGAGCGTTGTCGCAGCGCAAAATTGATCGAAAACATCGCTCGCGAGTGCAGTTTCCGGTGAAACTGGAGGCTTCCGATTCATCATTTCCGTTTTTTCGACATCTGAATGAGGGGGAAAAAAAAAAAATTATAAAATTATAAACTTGTAAAATCAAAAAAACCGAAAAAGCAATTTGAATTATAATTTTAGCCACCATTTACACCGCCCTGAACCCGCTAGCTAACTACCTACCTAGGTACCCATGCACCTCATATTAACAAATTAACGTGTTTCCAGGTGTAAATTCAGGTTTTTTTTTTTTTCGGCACAAAATAATAATAATGATAAAACGCATTTCGCTTCAACACACAATTATTATTATTATTTTTTTAAACAATGAAACTATTATTTAAAAAAAAAAAAAAATGACTACACATAATCGTTCACGCACCCTGCAAATAAGACGTAACAGACACGCACGCACACGCACGCACACACTAGGATTCACGTTTAAAAATCGAAACCAGGACAAAATAATTATTTATTTATTTATTTATTAAATTATTATTATTATTATTAAAATTCTCTCTTTTCTTTCGTACTTTTTAAATGTAATTAATATTCATGGATTCGCAAACATCGATAATTACACATTTTTCGCCTCAAGCATTACAAAGTATGTAAGTCAATACACTCCCTGTAGGCGGGTTACATCCGAGTTTGTTACAAATTAACAACGACAACCGACAACCAACAACCAACAACAACAACAACAACTAAAAATTGATTCATAAATATTATATATAGTTATAGGTGGAACTTTCCAAACGCACACGATAGAAACGCCAAAAAAAAAAAAAATTTATTTTTTTTTATTTTTTTATTTTTTGTCTCTTTAAGGATTGGCTTTTACGGCTGCATTTTTCTCTCTCTCTCTCTTTCTTTTTCTACGTTTTATTTTCACTTTAGGTACGTTTTGAAATTTTTTTTTTTTTCATTCAAAAAAAAAAAAAAAAAAAAAAAAAAACCAAACCGGAACGGGGACAGTTAACAGGAAACAATTTATTTATTTATTTATTTCACAAAACGTAACCTTGGCCTTCAAATTGAAATTGGTATCAAAAAAAGAAGACACGAAAAATCGATGCCGAGAGAAAATCGATTTTCTTTTTTTTTTGTTTTTCTGGGTAACCTTTAAAAAAATAAGAAAAAAGGGAAAACAATCGAGAACATTCAAAAATATTTCGACACGATACAAACTCGTAAATACCCTTCTCGCTTTCCGGGGGAGAGAGAGAGAGAGAGAGAGAGAGAGAGAGAGAGAAAAAAAGGATCGATTTTTAAATATAGACTCGAATCGCTATATTTCTCGAATTTAATTTTTCGATCGATAAATTTCGATTTAAATAGTCGGAATCATTAATTTGGCCTTTTGATTTTCTCACTCTCTCTCTCTCTCTCTCATTGTAAAAACAAATAAAAATTTCGACAAAATAATAATAATAATAAAAAATCGTTTAACTTTTTTTCGCTTATGCGCTATCAATTACAATCAACAAATTTGCTTTCGAAGCTATTTAAACCCCTCCCCTCCCCTCCCCTCAAAAAAAAAAACAAAAAATGAAACTATGATAATAATAATAATAATAATAATAATAATAATAATATAAAAATTCAAATTGAGCAACAACACCGATATTGTTTTTATTTTTTTATTTTAACATTTTTAAATTGCACCACATTATCATTATTATTATTATTATTATTATTATTATTATTATTATTATTTTGGCATTTATTAATAATATTCTTACGCTTTTGCAAAAAAAAAAATAAAACAAAATAACGTTTAGCATAAATTTTTTTTTTTTAAATCCGGACCATTAGCCTACTTTTTAATTTCACATTTTAAAAAAAAAAAAAAAAAAGAAAAAATTGAAACAGGAATTTTAACTTTGACGTCATTTTAGCATTAAAATTTATTATTTATTTACTTCACAACCTGCCGACGATCCCTTTTTTTTTTTTTTCTACTCCTCCTTCATAATAATTACTAATAAATAATAATAATAATAGTTAATATTATGGACGACGAACGGCGCCATTTTTTTTTTTTCTAAATCTCTGCTCCTCACATTGTTAAAACCCCCAAAAATTTTCACTGTTTAATAACAATCTATAAAAATTTCGCACTACATATAACCTTTTCCATTCATTCCCTGTTTTATCTCTCCCTCTCTCTCTCTCTCTCTCTCTCACTTTAATTCCCCTTTTCTCATCATTATTCTCTCCCGTTTGATTTTTACGCAATTTTAAGGCAACGAATGAAAAAAAAAAAAAACGACGTTAATATAATCATCGATAAATCCGCAATTAAATTCAACTTTTCAAAGGAGAGATGGGTGGATGGGGGGCTCAACAACGTGCTTTGGTGCAACGTGCAATGGTGCCTGAATCTTTAATTCACGAATGATCTTTTTTTTTTTTTTAAAACAAATTAAATATTTCATCTTATTTTCGAGGGGAAGAAGGGGAGCGGGGAGGTGCCCTTAATGTTTTCCGTGTTTTCTCTCACTTCGTGTGATAACGCATACACCGTTTGTCAGTTAAAAGTCAAAAACGAAATCGTTATTATTATTTTTTTTTTTCACCTGTTGATTTTTTGTTGATATACGATGTCGTAAAAAAAAAAAAAAAAAAAAAATCAGTTTCGAACCGCGACACACAAACACAAACGACAAACACTCGCCGCACATGTGTCAAATTCAACTTGGTTGTTGTTGTTGTTGTTGTTGTATACGTTCCGGTGTCATTCAACTTATTACGGTTTATGTCGAGCAGAACTCTCTAAAATGCACCTAATTAAGTTAATATTAGCAGCAGTCGTACATTACTAACCGCCATCGGGGTTCCCTCGCTCGCGGCTTGATCCGCCGTCGCCACCGCCATTTTGTTTTGTTTTTATTTATTTTTATTATTATTATTATTATTTTTTGTTTCTTTGCACCTAAAACCAATTAAATCAAGTGTGTGTGTCTTGATTTCGAATAAACTAAATTAAACGTAATTAAACGTTTTATTATTTTTCGCAAAAAAAAAAAAAAAAAAAAAAACATTTAATTACGGTTCGAAAACAACATTTTCAAACCTCGTGGTGACAAAGATCCGACGACGTTTAATATTCCATTAATAATAATAATAATAATAAAGCCAACGGCCATAGCGTGCTGGTCACACCGGTTCCCGTACGATCACCGAAGTTAAGCAGCATCGGGCGTGGTGCAAACTTGGATGGGTGACCGTCTGAGAACGCCACGTGCTGTTGGCTTAAAAGAGCAAAAAAAAAAAAAATGAGAACAAGACAAAGTAAGAACCAAAAACAAATCTTGTTCTACTGTCGACCTGAGGCAGCTCGACGAGAACGTGAATTTCACTGCTTCTGACCCTGGCCACTCCAAAGATGTTAGTCACCGGAGCCCAGTTCAGGAGACAAATCGTTCCCATCGAAAAAGACGGACTCAGGAAGACCTTCAAGAATTGATGTGGTGCTATCTTATAATAAGTGGCACCACCGAAATTCGAGTATTTGTCCCTAAGGAATCGGGTAGAAACCTCGGATAAATACTTAAAAAAAAAAAAAAAAAAACTCCGACAAGTAGCCTTGTCGTGTTTAATGGTGGATAATAATAATAATAAAAACGTTTAACAAAAAACCGGATGTTTATCACGTTTCTTCGAATTATTATTATTATTATTATTATTTTTTTTTTTTTGTAAACATTCCGAATCGATTGGCGATTTTATATATTCGTTCGATCGATCAAATCAATTCAACGTCACTTCCCATCATCGATTAAAAACTTATGCAAATCTAAAAAGGAAAATTCCGGAAACAGTTTAAGTTTGACTAATAATATTACTACTTCCGCCATTTTTTTTCGCATTAGAAAAATTTTCCAATTTAATAAATGATATCACGCCAATTACAAATTTAAAAAAAAAAAAAAAAAAAAAAAAACAATAATAATTAGTAACCTACATCAACGCCTTGAACACACACACACACACACACGCACACACACGCACGCACGCACGCACGCACGCACGCACACGCACGCACGCACACGCACACAAACGATATTTGTTGCATCCCTGTTGGTGGATTTGTTGCATCTCCCCGCGGTGATGATAGTATAGTATCGCGCATTCGTTAAAAATGACAACAGAGTGAATAAAACAAATACAAAATTTTTTCCTTCGATAAAATTTTGCACGTGCGCACGCACACGCGTATCCTTCCTTCCTTCCTTCCTTCCATACTTCCTTCTCGATCATTCCATCGACCTATCGAAAATTCTTATCGCTTTATCACGCGTCTCCTCCTCATCGTTGAAAATTTCAATAAAAATGAAATCAATCTTTGGTGCTACACTACTACGCATTGGCCAGAATGTAATAAAATAAATTTTACGTTTCTCACTCGTATTAAATTAATAATAATAATAGTAATAATAATAATAATAATAATAATAATAATAATAATAATAATAATAAAAACACGAATTTTTAAATTTGTATTATCACAATTAGCCTTATCTTGTAAATTAAAAATTAAATATCAGGTTTTATCACGAAACGATTTATTTCCAATTTAGCATTGTTGTTGTTGTTGTTGTTTTTGTTTACAATTTTTCACTCTCCCCTCCCCTTTCTCCTCCCCTCTCCTTCCCTCCCCCTCCGAAACGATTTCACATTTGAAATTTTCATTACAAGAATCTCGTAAAAAAAAAAAAAAAAAAAGAAAAAAAAAAATTGCAAAATCACTTTTGAGAAAACAAAAAAAAAAAAAAAAAGAGTTTGGGCGCGAGAGAGGTCGCGCACGACCGCACCAAACCGCACGACAACGAACAACGTGTTGTGTTACACACATGCTTATAATAAATCCACATTTCATTTCATTCAATTTAAATTTTTGCAAAAAGGTTTAATTTAGTGAAAGTTTTTTTTTTTTTTTTTTTTTTTTTTTTTTTAAGTTATATACTTCCTTCGTAACGACGACCGACCATTAAATAAAACGAATCTCTTATCATCATTATTATTAT